TGGAAGCTCTTGGTTCACATACTGTTGAAACCTAGCTTGAAGTATTTTGAGCATTACCTTGCTAGCGTGTGAAATGAGTGCAATTGTACACTAGTTTGAACATTCTTTGGCATTGCCCTTCTTTGGGATTACAATGAGAACTGACCTTTTCCAGTCCTGTGACCACTGCTGAGTTTTCAAATTTGCTGACATATTGAGTACAGCACTTTCACAGCATCATCTAGGATTTGAAATAGCTCAGTTGGAATTCCATCACTTCCACTGGCTTTGTTTGTAGTAATGCTTCCTAAGGCCCACTTGACTTCACACTCCAGGATGTCTGGCTCTAGGTGAGTGACCATACCATCACGGTTGTTCGGTCCATTAAAGACCTTTCTTGTACAGTTCTTCTGTGTATTCTTACCATCTCTTCTTAATCTCTTCTATTTCTGTTAGGTCCTTGCAGTTTCTGTCTTTTATTGTGCCCATGCTGGCATGAAATGTTCCCTTGATATCTCCAGTTTTCTTGAGGAGATCTTTATTCTTTTATATTCTATTGTTTCCCTCTATTTCTTTGCATTGTTCATTTAAGAAGGCCTTCTTATCCCTCCTAGCCATCCTCTGGAATTCTGCATTCAGTTGGGTATATCTTTCCGTTTCTCCTTTGCCTTTTGTTTTTCTTCTTTCCTCAGCTATTTATAAAGCCTCATCAGACAACCACTTTGCCTTCTTGCATTTCTTTTTTGGGGGGATGGTTTTGGTCACTGCCTCCTATACAGTGTTATGCACCTCTGTCCAGAGTTCTTCAGGCACTCTGTCTACTAGGTCTAATCCCTTGAATCTATTTGTCACCCCCACTGTATAATCATAAGGGATTTGATTTAGGTCATACCTGAATGGTCTGGTGGTTTTCCCTACTCAATAAAAGTCCCTTATCATGTATGTGATTTGCAAATGTTTTCTCCCAATTTGTGGGTTCTCTCTTCACTTGATTGATGGTATTATTTAACTTCCAAAAGTGTTAAACTTTGATGATGTCCAGTTCATACATTTTTTTCTTTTGTTGCTTGTGATTTCTGTGTTGTATTAAAGAAACCACTCCTAACCCAAAGTCAGGAAGATTTACTCCTGTGCTTTCTAAGAGTATTAACTGGGATGTTTAGATCTCTGATCTATTATATGGATTTCTACATATGATATGAGTTGGGTCTAACTTTATTATTTTGGCTTTTCTATGTCTCTTCATCTGCCATGTCAATTTTAGAATTAGCTTATCAACTTTTGCACACAAATGAAACAGCCTGAGAGGCCAAAAGTGGTCAGATACCGGTGAAATTCAGAGAATAACAGGCAGAATTCTGGGCCAGGACTAGGAGCCAAAGACTGAGAGAAGGGAGGGGAGGAGTCAGAGGGGAAGGTGATAGGATGGCCAGTGAAGCAGAAGGAGGAGAGGCTGGGGATGGGGCTGGAGCACCCCAGGGGAGGAAGGAGGAACTGAGTGTGGGTGCAGGATGGGCAGGTGACCAGGACTTTACGGAGACTTTCAAGGGTGCTGGTTTGGTGGAGGGCTGTGAGCTTGTGTGGGGAGTGGGGCCAGAGTCAGCTCTCCGGGGGTCACTTAAGAAATCAGATTGTGAAGGGTGTGGAGACGTGGAGCCCTGGGTCTGGGGTGTGAAATCTAGACAGATTGAGCGCTGTGAATGTGGACACCTCAAGCTTGTTGAAGAGTTGAGAAGCCCCAGAAAAGGGCCAATTAGGGGGATGAGCAAACATTTGAGAGGAAGATGGGCTGTGGTTGCTACTGCGAGGACACTTGTTTATGAAAAAAAGATTTTTTTGTTAACTATTTGTTGATTGGTTGGTTGGTTGGCTCAGGTCTCAGTCGCAGCATGAAGGGTCTTGTGTCACAGGGATCGCTCTGGTGCATGGAGTCTAGTTGTGGTGTGCTGGCTTAGTTGCTCTGCGGCATGTGCAATCTTAGTTCCCTGACCAGGGATTGACCTGTGGACCTGCACTGCACGGTCCATTCTTAACCCCTGGACCTCCAGGGACATCCCTAAGGACACTTTAATTGGCAGTGGAAAGAAGAACCTGTCAAACTTGGGGGGAGATGTGGGCTCAGCCAGGATGGGACAGAGTGGGGAGAGAGGAAGGCAGGGGCTCAGGGTCTGACTGATTCCACCCACGGGAGCATGGGAGAGCCAAGATGTGGGCTCCCACCAAGTGAAGACCCTCCCCCTTTGCTTGCTGGATGAGAGGCAGATCACCAGAGACACAGAATCTAGTGTAGACCCTGAAGACATCTTGACAGGAGTTTCTCATGAGCCCACAGGGTCTCGAGTTCCAGAGCTAAACAGTCCACATGCCAAAGCGTCACGTGTTGGGGAGGCCTGATCCTACCCTGAATTGCCCTGAGCATGGGCGTCCTCCAGGACTCTGGCCTCAGGAGGGAGATGTCCTGCCCTGCAGCTCTGATGCGGCTCACGGGCCCTGGTGGCATTTCTGAGCTTGTCTGTCTGCCAGAGTCCTGTGGGGCCTCTGTGGGGTCAGATGCTGGGACAACATGGAGCAGGTGGTCCTGAAGGGACATCACGGCCATCAGCGTCCTTGCCATACACTCCCACGCAGCCCCTTTGCTCTGTGCGTCTGGGAGCAGGGGTTCAGAACTCACTAGAGACCTCTGAGCCTAAAGAAAGGGGTCTTGAGGAAAACCCTCCTCACTGCCGATTCCTGGTAACGAGGACAGAGTCAGCCCTCCTCGCGGTCCCTGTGTGTCAGGCGTTCTAAGTCTCCGATGGCTCTTCCACCCTGTGATGGAGACGGTCGTTGGCAGGTGTGAGGGCTGCCTCCACTGGCTGAATGTCCGCCGGCAGCCCGACTGCTGGACGGGGCACCTGGGTGGCACCCCCTGTTGTCTGGAGGGCCTGCCTTTGGCCTGGGGACTTCGTCATGATTTGGGTTTGGTTGGCGGGGGGCATCAAGTGCCTCCTCTGTGGCAGCCAGGGTGGACTGCGTCTTTGTTCTACTCCACGTGTCTGTACACTAGGGGTCTGGTCTGTGGGGACATATGTGGGCCCAGTGGGAGACCGAGAGGGCCCCTGGTTTCTCCCAGCAAAGGAGAAACACTGTCACATTTTACTGTAGTGACTGTGGTTTGCTATCAAAAGATTCCCAGGAAAAGGAAGGATTGATTGAAGGACTCCGTCAATCATGGATCCTTGTGACATGGTTCTGGTCTGGTGTTGTGTGCCTCTTGCAAATGTCTTCTGCATCCTGGGGGCAGTGCTGTTGAGAGGGAGTGATGCTGGGGCAGGTGTCCTTAAGGCCCTTGTGTGAGGCCTGAGTGAGTGTGGGGCTGTGGACACGTGACAGACCATGGGGAATGCGGGCGAGGGGGAGAATTCCCTCAACAGCGCTTCTCCTGGGGAGAGAGCAAAGAGGCCCCTGTGAGCGGGCTCTCTCCTGGCAGAACACAGCAGGCCCTTGGCACTGACGGGGCTCTTCCACTGCTGGGCTTCTCTGGGGTTGGAGCCCTTCTCGGATACGTGCTGGGGGTCTATAAGGAGGGAACCATCCCTTTCAAAGATCTCAGGATGCCCCTTCCCTCCAATTCCCAGGGAGGCCTGCCGGGGTTAACCACTGTTTACGCATGTCACCATGACGAGGAATTTCACCAGACCCTCGCAGATCAGCCCGGGGTGCGGGGGAGGCACATGTGGAAAGGGAAGCCCACTTGTTCTGGGGATTCTGGCCTCCATTTTCACTGTGTCACGAGAGGCAGGGTCATTGTCCCTGTCTTCGGGTGCGGCACCTACCCCGTGACCAGAACCTTCCTTGTTGACTCATCTCCTGAGTTTCCTCCCTTCCCTCCCCTTTGACAGGGACTGTCTGCTCCCTCCTCACCACCCTTGCTGTTTGCCACACACCCCTTGAGGCTCCAGGGCCCTAGGCAACTCCTGTCATGGTGTTGGTGGGCCTGTTTCTTCTCGCTGCCTGCTAATGACCGTGAGGTACCCGGCCCAAGATGTCTGGTTCCCAGCTCTCAGGCCGAGTTCAGGGCCCGGCAGGGGACCCACAGCTCAGTGAGGGTGAGGCACGCAGTAGGCGCACACAGCAGGTGGTTTAACCCATTCCTCTGAAGGTGATGCATTAGACTGTTTGACAACCCATCTGCTTCCCTCTGTTTGTGCTGCTGGAGTCACAGGAGGCCCTTTAGTAGATGGAGGCATTTCCAGACAAGAGGACACTCTGGCTGAAGCCACAGGGCTGCCCAGGACAGGACCAGTGAAGTTAGAGGAAAATAGTGTTCGGGAATGCACGTCGAAAACCTGAGGAGAAGAAAGATGAGGGGTGGGACAGCACAATGCCTGACCTGCCTTCAGCAGAACCAAACTCACCTCCAAAGAGAAGAAAAACGCAGGAACATTCATTTCCTGTTTTTATTGTTGGTTACTTCGTGACCTTCCTTTGAAAGCTGCTGTTGTAGAAAGCTGGTTGTCATGGAAACAGGGAGTGTCGTGCGGGGAATAGGTACACAATGCATTTCTTTGTCCGGTCCAGATGATGCCTTTAGCCTCTGCTTTGACGTGTGAATTTATGTGAGGAATTAAATATTAACTGGATGCACTGCCCTGGAGATAGGCAGACACAGAAGGAGAGGAAAGATGCCAGCCACCTGGGCAAAGTGGAGGCAAAGCTTTGGGTCTCACCTGACTGGCACTAGCCCCCTGTGCGGAGTGGCCGTGTTAGAGGAAATCTGCCCCCACTCCCCGACATGTCCCATAAAACAGTGCCACAGCCAGGGTGATGGTTCTGGGTGTGGGCACTAGAAGCCTCTGAGGATTGTCCCAAACAGAGAGTGATTTTCCCCAAAGAGCTCCTGTCTTTTGTCCCTGAAACAGCCAAGGGGCCCTGACCTTGGGTGTCTTTGTGGTACAAGTGCTGTGTATAAGAGTGGGCCAATTTTCTCTATTTCTTCCCTTGAGCTGGTGTTCATTAGGGTTTCTTTTTCTGACTCTCAGAAAATGAGTTCCGGGGTGAGCTTCTGAGTCAGAGGTGGACACACGGAGACAAGGCTGACAACTGTAGGACCCCAAGACTCTTCCTGGGCGGACGCGGCAAGGTAAGGCACTCAGAGGGCAGCCCCTGGGTCTTGGCTAGAGTCCTTCTAACTCCTCGGCATGGAGTGTGGAGGCGACTTTTGGTCTAGTTGTTATCAGTCCAGCTTAGGCGAAGCGTAAGTGGGGGCTAGGACCATCGATGATCTGGGCACTTTAACAATAAAGGAAGAAAAGTGACTCTGAGTAGGCTAAAACTTAAATGTGATGGCAGGTTCCGTCTGCCAAGTCTCTGCCCTGAGGCCCCATCATATGCAGCTCCCGAGGCACACTAGTCCCTGTTCTGTTCTCCCTGGGCAGCCTTCACCACAGGAACTCCTAAGGTCTGCGGGCTTGGTTTACTGCCATCTTCCCAAGTGGGGCCTGTGGTGCCCTGCTCACACCTGCCTGGATCTGTCTGGTGGAGGTGGCCTGGAGTCTCCACCTCCCAGCGGTGCTCCAAGCCCAAATATCACACACTTTTACAGCTGCACCAAGCCTGTAATTATGGATGTTCTTGCTCCCCATGATGTGCTCTGGCAAAGCCAGGTCCCCAGGCTCAGGTGACCCTCAGAGATGGAAGTGGGGTGACAACAGGCTTGGTGGGCATCCCTTCCCAGATCTCAGATTCCGACCTCTCGTATACTCTGACATGAACATGCTCTCCATCAAGGATCCAAGCCATGACCCAGAGCATGGCCACCAAGAAGTGGCGGCCCAGAGTACAGACAGGCAGGGCTGTGAAGTTTGAAGTGGCAACCTCTTTTGAGGGTGTGTGTATTTTTCTCTTAAAGCCCAACACTTTCCTTCTGAGTCTGGTGCCTGGAATGTACAGGGATGGGTCTGTCCTCACATTGCCTCAGGCTCCTCCACTCACACTTCTACCCCTGTGTGACCATCAGTGCTTTGCTGAGCCATGTTTGAGTCTGGTGCAAAAGGAAAAGCCAGGAATGCTGGCCCAGTCTTTATTTAAATCTTTGTTCTTTTGTTCCTCATGGAATATTTGCATTGATTTAAATGTTCTAAAATGCTGCATTAAATTGTTATCTAATTTGATCACTTAGTTTTGCTTTCCCCTCAAGTTTGCATCTGACTGAATGCAGCACTCGCCTCACCCATCCAGCCCCAAGCATTCAGAGATCATGTGGCCACGACGCTCCTTGATTTGAGACCAGGGGCTCTGGGTGCTTTGTCTCCACAGTGGCTGGTGCTGTGGATGTGATGGGTAGGAAGGCTGCACTTGCCTATGGCTCAGGCGTGATAAGTTGGGAGGGTGTGGAACCTGCTGGGAAAAAGCTCAATGGCCGTGCTCAGCTTCTCCCCAGGGCCAGCATTTCACAGCTGCTCCATTATGGTCATTTCCTCTAGTTCGGGCAGATAAGGCCCTAGTTACTGCTCTGAGTAAAGAAGCTAAGACCAAGAGTGGGCCAGAGAAGGAGGGACTGTGGGGCTGGCGCCAGGGGCACCGTCTGACTGAGGAGGTGGAGAAAGGGTGGGCACACAAGAGGTCAGAACACACACAACAGAAGACTGGCCTGAGAAGGAAGTGGGGAGCTGGGGAGCTGGGGAGCTAGTGCCTGGAGAAGTCCTGTGTGGGAGGCAGTCATAACTGCCTGGACTCTGAGTTCAGCACCAGGCATGTGGACAGCTCATAGGTGGGTGTGGAAGCAGCTGATAGAATTTTGTTGTGTGCTTGTGAAAGTGCTGGGCATTGGGCTTTTTTTTTTTTTTTAATTTAAGGAGAAAAGGGTAAGTATTGGTTAACCTCCTCTTGACCTTCAAAAAAGAAGTATTTAGGCCCCAGATTATGGGTGTTCAATGGGTGGCTAGAGATATGCAACCCAGGAGCATAGTGAATGTATGGGTGCTCAGCAGACCTCCTTATCGTCTCCCCTAGTAGACACTCCCAACAGGGGAAGGGGTAGCACTGGGTGTGCCCTCTGACCCGCCTCATTGGATGTGGCTAGATTGCTACCCCTCAGAAGTTGGCAATTCCATTTATGTTGAAGTTTTAAACAGATGGGCCCAGACAAGGCTGCTTTATCAGGATGTCTATAACATAGCTATATAATTTTACAGTGAGCCATGAGCTCATGCTTAGAGATGTCAGGAGAGTCCCTCCCAAGATGGGTATTAAATAATTCTCCGTGGGGTATCCTTTCTACAACCCAAGGAGAGGGCTGGTCTATGCAGCTGCTTATGGATTGAACAATGGGTGGAGTGTCAGAGAATTTCAGACACACACTGCGATGTTCCCAAGGGAGGGACACCGTTAGGAACCAGAGGTGCTATGGCGGTTGTCAGGAGGTGCAGAGGTGTGCCTGTGTGGTTTAGCCTCAGCTGACAGAGAATGGAGAGCAGAATGTGTACTGAAGGGGAGGTCCCTGAGATAGTGGGACTTCTTGAAGCAGAAGGCAGCTCTTGGGGCTGCCTGGGCTGGGGGCTGGGGAGGATCCTGCTAGAAGGCTTGGTGGGGAGAGGGAGCAAGGGACGTACTTGACAGCTGCTCTTAAGTCCTTAGTGGAGCGTCTCCCCAGATGTGGGAATGTGGATATGCCCAGTATTCTGCCCCCAGGCTATGCAACGGTGATGTGCCTGCTGGAGGCGCTCTTGGCTGTGCACACAGGACCAGATTGTGTCCTCCTCTGCCCCCTCATTCCCCCGCGCCCCTTGGTTTTGTTCGGTTAGGTATCTCTACCCTCCTTGTCGCATGTCATCCCTTCCTTCTAGGCATGTTGCTTGGTCTCGGGAGTCAGCAGACTTCCTTGTTTGGGTCTTCCCAGAGGAAAAAGGACTCTGTCACTCAAATAATCTTGTATGTTTAAAAATTTGCCCCAAGTTCATTCTAATTCCCCAGCTTTGCTGGCTTTTGGATGTGTTCTAAGTAAAATGGAACGTGGCCTATTTCTTCCAGCCCAGGGCCAGTGTGGGTCCTCTGTGGTCTCAGGGGCCTGGACTCTCCTGCAACTCAGGGCTCTGGTTTCTGCTCTGATGGTCTTGGCCACCTTCCCCAGCTCCAGGATCCCAGTAGATGTTTCCGATTGTCCCCATTTGTCTGTCTGTCTACCTGTTTGTCTGACCTTACATAATACACCCTGAGCGGTGAATAAGGTCTCTATAGGGAGATACTGACCTCAAAAACATGAACCAGTGAACTTATTTCAGATGGAGATGAGCAGGCACAGAGGGGGAGTGAGATAGGGGGTGTGAAGAGGGAGGATGCAGGCCTGACCCCCAAGAGGAGTTGGCCACACAGGGGTGCACCTTCTCTGTGGGTCAAAAGTACTTGCTTCCTGAGGCCTCCCTCTCTGAAATGTCCTCAGGTCTTCGCTGATTCATGGGACCTCCCCACCCCTGCCCAGGCTCATGGCTAAGCAGCTCCTTCCTCTTGACATCCACCCTTCCCTGGAGTGAGACACCTGCTGCCTCAGGCCCCATAGCTGGTGCCATTCAGGCCAGGAGCCCCTGCAGGGACGGGAGAGGCAGGTGATGTCCAGGGCCGCACAGGGCCAGGCTCTAGAATGGAGTCTGTCATTCAGCCCTTAGCTGTGTGCAGATGGGCAGGGACATGGTTCAGGGTGGAGAGGTGGGAAGCTCTTCAGTTGTCAAGGCCTGGGAAGAACCAGGAAGAAAAGAAAGTGAAAGAGAGGTAGACAGTCAAAGAGAGACAGAGAGACAGACAGTGGGATGGGGGAGGCACCCCTCTAGAAACCACCGCCAGGTCCCTGAACTAGGCAGGCGGTGGGCAGAAAAGGTAAAGTTCAGTACAAAGCCCACTGGGCCTGACTGGATGTTCCTGGGGGAGAGCCCACGCTGTCCTGTGTATTCCTGGAGTCCTAACAATCACAGCCCAAGAAGCTGCTGGTTCAAGGTCATTCAGCACGACCTTGGTCCCAGAGCGTGTAAACGTCCAGCTCAGGGAACTCAGGTTTGGCAAGGGTGCTGTGGGACAGGTCTGAAAGGGGCTGGTCATGTGAGAGCTGTTTACATTTGAGAAGAGCTTACATGCTTTACTAAAAAATAAAAAGCAAGGGACTTCCCTGGTGGTCCAGTGGTTAAGACTTCAGGCTTCCGCTGCAGGGGGTGCCGGTTTGATCCCCACTTGGGGAACTAAGATCCCAGGTGCCATGTGGCACAGCCAAAAAAAAATAAAAACAGGAAAACAAACGAACAGAGCCAAGCATCACCACCCTCTTGAGTGAGACCATCTCGGGACACAATAAGGCAGGTTCAGAGGAAGGACAAAGAAACCATTCTTGCTGGTCAAGAGATGTGGCCAGGGAGTGCTAGTATTTGTAGATTGTTCTTCTGTAGTTTTCCTACTGAAGTCAGCATGACTGAAGTGTTAACCAGAGCAAAGAGTTTGCGGAGTGCTGGGCAGCTGTGGACAGGCAGCTGGTGGCAGACAGCGCAGACCTGTCCTTGAGAGGCCTCTGGCCCCCTGTGGGGTTTGTCAAGGCTGTTTGGCCTGGACAGGGGCCTTTCACCCTCCAGGCAGGAGGCCACTCAGCTACGTGAAGGCTTTTCAGAAACAGGCATGGTTGGTTTGTGCTTGGAACAGGGGAAGAATTTTCAAAAATAAATCAGTGAAAAATTGGAAAGTGTCTCATTGTCTTAGCCTGTCTTCCCACGGTGGCAGAGGTGGTGCAACCAGTAGGCCAAGCAGTGCTGCCCACTGACACGTGGGTGCACAGGTGCTGTGGGCCAGAGGACATGGAGAGCCACCCTTGGAGGAGGAAAGCTGGGTAAGTCCAGTGGAGCCAGTCAAACAGTTAAGAAATCGAGGTTTCCCTGCTTGCGCGTCGATGTGGCTTGTTGTTCTTACAGCTGATGCTCATGTTGAAAGGCTAACCCTAGTTCTTCCTCCCTTAGTTCAGTTTTTTTTCCCCCTTTTTACATCAAAACTCTATGCACTGAGGAGAACTTCTTACTTATTGACCATTTGATGCAGATAAATTGCAAATGGAAAGGTGCTCGGCAGAATGAATGGCACAGCTGTCAGCTCGTCGACGTGAGCTCCCAGTGTGAGAGCAGCCCGCACGCATCCTGCAGCTCTCTCCATTCTGTGCTCTTTGAATAATTTATCTGCAGGAAATCCAAATTGCCAAGGCCCGCTTTAGCCCAGCAGAATGCTTGCCAATTTCCTTGGGAAAACTGACAAAAAAAGAGGTGTAGATTGCATTTCGGCTGAGAGTGGCTGGGCAATCAGAGCTCGGCCCCTTTGTGCCGCTGCATCGGAAGCCACTGCGCCGGGCTCGCGCAGACGACATTTGAAGGCTCATAAATGTAATGAAGTCCCTTTGACACCTGCTCCTCTCTTCACTTTAAATGTGAGCCATTGGTCCATGGGGAACCTCCGCTTTAAAAATAGAAATTATAGTAATTGTCTTCTGTGCTGTCGGGAGGCTATAAATGCATGGCTCTCAGCTCTACTGCTTGCAATCGACGGCTGCAAGGATTACCCCAGGTTGTGATTTTTCGTCCTTAACAAATCACGTGTATGCTCATGCTGCTCAGGGGCAGGGGGGCTCCCTTTGCAAGTTCCACCTTATGAACTGGGGGGTCCATGGGAAGGGTGGGACCATAGATACTGGACCTGTGCTGGTTTCTGGGGGACAAAGCCCCTCTCTGCTGCTCCCTTCTGGGCATCTGGCTTTGCTCTGATGGTCATGCAGTGGCAGGAGGGTGGGGGCGGCTTCCTCCCCTTCCTGGCCACAGGGCACAGCTGCTGGGTAAAGGCCCCTCCTACCTCCTGCCCAGACCCAGGCTGAGGATTCTCTGTCATGACCTGTGCCCCTGGGGGCATCCCTCCCCTTCCAGGGTTCTGCCTCCACTCCCTGAAGGACAGCGTGGGCAGCATTCCTATGGAAGTGGGTCTGGGGCAGAGAATGGGGGGCGGGAGCTCTGATGGGCTCGGGTAGATGGTTGGGTGACATGAGGGTCTGGATTGTGTGGGGCACCCACCCTCTCTGGGGCTCCACTCACTCTTTCCTGGGGGACTTGGCTTCTCTGGGAGGGTGACCTGCAGGTCGGGTCCAGATGACCCCTCAGCCTGCACTCCTACCCCAGCCTGGCTCTCACCCCTGACTCCTTCCCACCCCCAGAGCCTGCGTCGTGGCACGTGGTTGATCGAACTCAGATAAGCTGTGAGTCCAGGAAATGTGCAGGATCTCTAACAGTCAGCATTAAACAAAAATCCCAGTCATAATTTTTTCTATTGATACTGTTGAAATGATAATGTTTTGGATAGATTGGACTAAGTAAGATTTAAAATCAATTCCACCCATTTCTTTTTATGCTTTTAAGGTGGCTTTTAGGAAAGTTTAAATGATGTGGGTGACTGACACTCTATTCCACTGGGCAGTGTTGCCTGAAAACCCCTGGCTGTGGGGAGCACCCCATCTCATGTATGAGTGGCTAGGTCCCCAAACTCAGACTGTGTCCCCGGGATCTCCCTGGACGGCACCCAGTAGAGTGGAGCCGTCCACTCGAAGCTTCGTGGAGTTCTGCTCAGGTCCCAGGTGCCCGTTTCTAACAAGACAGCCCTTGTGTGCCAGGATCAACAACTGTGGGTGAAAGCCGGGCTCTCAGCACGTTGGGATCAGAGTCTGTGGCGGGCACTGTCACCAGGAGACCGTGAGTTACGACGTCGTGAAAGTAACAAAGGTTTAGTGGGTGAGGCTTCTTCCTCTGATGTGAACCTGGGGGCAGGAGCTGGGGGACATGCTCGGGCCCACGGTCTCCTCCCAGAAGCACCATGCCTCACCTGCTGCTCCTGGTTCTCAGGTCGTTCCTGCCCTATGAGCCGTTCCTTGTCTCCTGGGTCAGATTCACAGGCACCAGCGACGCTGGAGCCAGAAGATGGCATAGGCCACACTGCAGACACAGGGGTGGTTCTGCTGGGTCCTGTTAACAGCGCAGTTGTTTTTACTTGCAGATGAGCTTAGAAAATGATGAAAAGAGAGCTCGTACAAGATCCAAGGCCCTCCGAGGTGAGTGTTGCCCTCCTGTCCCAGCTGACTCTGGCCAAGAGTCCCGGGTCCTGAAGCTATAAATGCCACTCCCAGCAGCTGTCCTCAGGAGAACAGAGTCCTGGAGCAGTGCCTCGGCTCTGGGATGGGCCTCCCCTGCTCTGGGCACCTGGGGCTCCAGGTACCTGGTGGTTTCAGGCCTCCTCAGCCTCGGGCTGCCTGAGAGGGTTGCCAGGGAGGCTTTTGGCCCAGAGACACCTGCTAGGGTGGAAATGAGGAGCAGACCCAGCTCTCCAGAGGGGAAGCAAAGCTGCATTAGACCTGCTCTGTTTGGAAAGGAAAGGCCGCCAGCCTTGCATCACCAGTCTCTCTGTTCCTGGGATATTAGTCTTGGTGCTGGAACGGGTGGGGATGTCATTGGTGGAACTGGCAGTGGGGTGGGGAGAGGGGCTGAGGCCCTTCTTGCTCTTCAGGGATCGAGCCCTGACCCCTTGGCCAGCCTCACCTCCCCAACACCACAGGGTACATGCTGCTCCTGTGTATGGGTGGCTCTCAAGGAGGGGCCAGGCGCCCTTGTGTCTGCTTCTTATGTCTGCCGATCAGACCCCTGACGTTTTTGCCCCAGTGGCCCATCCCTGAGGGACCAGTTGCTTGGGCCACCTTCTCTTCTTTGTCCTGCTTTATATGCTGGGGGGTTTCTGACCAGAAACTGACTTCTTCATGCAATTAGAGAAAGAGATCCTGTCTTGCCTGGATGGCCCACAGAGTCTGTCTTGTGTGGAGCCTCTGTCTGAGTCTGTAAATCCAGGAGTTCCCAGGGAGGGTCTGGCAGGAGCACTGGCTTGGGGGACCATGGATTCACTAGACCCCAGGGGACATTCCAGGAGGCCAGGGAAGGTGTGGTTTCGGTATCAGGGGAATTGCCTCCACGCTTCACCCCACTTGTGCTGTAGGACAATGTGCCTTTTCCATTCTACCTGCACACAAGTTCCCTGTTTCTCTTTCTCTCACTCAGCTCCCCTGGAGCCCACAGGAGCTGACCTCAGGTAAGATGTGCTGCTCGCCGGTGACCCCCTTTGTCCTGAATGGCCTGCCGGGCACTTGGAATTGACCGGCTGCCCCTCAGCCCCCTGCTTTCTGTGACGAGGAGCCTTCCCTCCTGGCCTGTGTCCAGTGTCCTCACTCTGCCCTGTCCTCTTGCCCCGCGTGCTGGTGCCACCATGCAGCCAGCCTTGCGCAGGCACACAGCGGTGCTCACGCTGGTCCCGGGACCTCCTGTCCCCGTGGTCCTCAGCCAGCGACAAGGTGCTGTCTTAGTGGCTCCTTGACCAGAGACAAGGGTCCAGCTGTCCCACGCCCGAGGCTTCCACTGGACCGAGAGCAGCAGTGGCCTGTGTGTTGGCAGAGCCCTGTGACTTTCCAGATCCCAGGCCGGTCTCACAGGGCACATCCTGAGCAGGAGGGAGGACAGACGCTCAGGGCTTTGCTGGTTGAAGCAGGAGGGGCCGGCCCTCTTCGCTGGAGGCAGACTTCCCTGTCTGCTGGCATCTGTCCTGCGCTTGGCCAAAGGCTTTGTGTGTGGGGTGTGGGAGGGGCTTGGGGAGGCCAGAGAGACCATCTCCGCCCTGCCCCCTGCAGTGTCTGTGTGTCTGGCCGCCCAGCACCACCCACTTGACCTTTGGACCAGAGGTTCTGTGGATCTAGGCTCTTCCTTGGGTCTCCCTGCCAGCCCTGGGCTGTTTTGCCCAAACAGAGCTCCAGCGAACAGTGTCCAGTAAGTGACCAATAATACCAGCCTCCCACACCCCCCTTTCCTGAAGAGAGGTCGTGCCAACACATCTGGGTCAGAGCACTAGAGAAAGCAGGGAGGGCCCCAGTGTACCTGGTCCAATTTGTTAAACATCCCCGGAGCTGGGGCCAGACTTCCACTTGTGACTGAGGTAATCTGCCCAAGGCCACTTGGAGGGATGGAGGGCCTCCGAGTGCTCCCTCCTTCCCCTGGGGATGCTCTGCCCGTGCAGTGGGGTCAGGGGTGACACCCACACCCCGAAGGCAGGTCTGTGGGCTTCCAGACTGGTGGCTGGAGACAGACAGAGCTTTCTAGACACTGAAGGAGGGGCTGCTCTTCTGTGGGGCCGCTGCCCCTGCCTGGAGTAACTCTCTCCACGGAGTGGTGCGGGCCCAGGGCATCGGCCACATCCATATTCTCAGGGGTGAAGGCTCTCACTGGACAGTGAACACAGCTGGGGCTGGCCCATCTTATTCTTCACCAGGCAGTAATCAAGTGGTTGGCCTTTGCCAGTCAGGAAAATGAGGACCCTAAACATGCCAGCATGTCTCTAGCCTCTGAGGCTATATTGTGGAGGCAGGAGGGCAGAGGGCTTGGGACGGGTGCTCAGAACCCCATGTGTGGCAGGCGCTGCAGTGTCTGCATTGTGCTGTCTGAGCTCAGGGACTCTCATGGAAGTATTGGCTGGGGGTGGTGTGGCCCCACGTGTGAAGTGGGGAAACTGAGGCTCAGAGTATGACAGTTCATGCAGTCAGAAGAGTTGAATCACACACCCTCCTACATGAAGACTGGTTGTGGTCGCATGGCTGGAGGATGGGGTGGGTGGGGACAGAAGCCAAGCCAGACCCCTGGGAGCTGCCTGGAGGGTTGGGACCTGTGGGTGAGCCCCTGGAGGGACCCTGCGTGGTGCTCAGAGGAGCACAGGCTGGAGAGCAGGTCTCCTGGAGGATGCACTGGGGCCATGTGACGTTTGTCTGAGGACCTCCTGGGGACAGCAAGGGGGAGGAGGCTGTGCACAGGACTTGAGCTTCAGTAACAGTAGTTACTTTTGGCAACAGATACAGTAAGGGAGGAAGTTGGAAAGGCAAACCCCAAGGGCTAGGTTTCTCTTGAAACTTTGAAGCCAAAGTGACCCCAAAACAGATTTGTTTTGAAATCTGTGTACACAACCAGTGTAAGGGATCGTGTGACCATCCAGGTTTTACGTACCTTTGTTGATCTCGTGGTCTCACCCTGTTTACTTGGTAAGGGTGAGACTGGTATGCAGTCTGATGGGGAAACTGGGGAGAAATGTTCTAGTGACAATGTTCTCAGCCATCCTTCCGGTTTCAAAGAATCGACGCTCAGAGGAAAATGGCTCCTCTGTGCTAAGGAGCCATACGTGGTCCACCTGGAACGTGCCTCTCAGACCTGAGCAATGCACTGAGCGTGGGTGTTCAGCCTGTGGGCAGGGACAGGTGCTGCAAGCCGGACTCCTCCTCTGGGCACACCAGGTCCTGTGGTGGGACAAGCAGATGAGCCCCCATTCTGGCAGAGCCTTTGTGGTGGGGCCTTCGTGGCGGGTGCTGGCCCAGGGATAATGACCCGTGGAGCAGACTCGCCCCTGGGACGGCAGAGGAATCACCTGATGGGAGGACGGGTCACAGGGAAGCTGTCCCCATGGGACTCACTCTGTGGACGAGGGACTTGAACCTGTGGATCCAGAGCCTGTGGGGCTCCCTCCCCCCCAACAGTGGCCCCTTCCTCCGCTCAAGCAGAGACCCCGGGAGCAGCTTGCTCTTGCATCGTGGTTGCTAGGACACAAGCCAGGACAGATCAGGACTCTCCGCTGCCCCCTCAGTAGCCCGTCAGCTCTTGCTCTGACTTGAGGCGAGTCCCTGAGATAAGACGAGAGGTCTGTTGGCCTTTCCCTTTGTGCCAGTGGAGAACTAGCAGACCCCGTCCCTTGTCTCCATGGGCTCATCTGCTGTCCCACAGCTGCGGGAGGTGGGATAGGAGGGAAGGAAGTGGGTGGGCCCCTCTCGGAGCACTCTTGGGGTGTCTCCCTCCTCCATGAGAGACGCCTGTTTGTCCTGCCTATGCCCTGGTTCCCAGCCCACCTGTCCTCACCTGAGGGCCTTCTCCTTGAGCCACCAGCCAGCTCCCACTAAGGAGACAGACAGGAGTAGGGAGCCTTCTACCTGCCTCCAGGGGGCCGGAGAGAATCCAGTCCCTTAAAGGGCTCCTGCTGGGATGGGCACTTCTGCCTTGGCCTGAGACCTACCGTTTATGCTCAGAGCCCCCTGGGCCGGTGCCTGACCCCACTCAGTGCTAACTGAGGTCAGGCCCTCCGGGAGCGCCTCTGCCACACTTGGAGCCAGATTGGGAAGTCAGGGGAGGGCCCAGCAGGGTCCCCCATGCTGGGGGGCTAGGCCTCAGAGGCCTGGACCAGAGCTGGTGCTTCACCCCGCCCTCTGGCCCCAAGCACATGGAGGGCACCCTAAAAGCACAGGTGCCCCCAGTGTGACCTGCTGGCACTGCACCCTGGGGCCCTGACTGGCCTCACGTCACTTTCCATGGGTGCTGTCTTGGCTGCCACATAGGGAGGGGTTTCTTCCGCTTCCTCTCCCAGAGTGCCCCTTGGCGGCTCAGCACACGTGGGCACACGCCTGGCCTGCTGCCCTGGGAGGAGCTGGCCCTCGGGGCTGGAAGCCAGGCGCCTCTGAACTGGGGGGCGGAGGTGTGGCTTTGAGCAGGTGATGTGTTTGGGGGTAGTGCCAGTACCACAGCAGCTGGCACCTAATTGCCTGATTAACTCTGACTAATCGACTAATTGGGACCTCAGCTTCAAATCCTCAATAACAAGGAGCTTTTGTGGAGTCTTAACGCTAGTACTTGAGAAAGTGGCAGCAAGTGTGGGGCATGGACTTCAGAATGAGAGGCCGTGGGCGGCAGAAGTCCTCTGGGTCTGGAAAGGAAACGCACAGGAAAGTCCACACGCTCCCCTCCCCCCTCCCCTTTCCTCTTCCTCTCCACCCTGTCTCCTTTCATCTCTCCTTTTAAATGCCAGGAGATGAGCCTCAGTGGCGCCATCATGGGGGCTGCAGGGTGCGTCCCCTGCAGCCCCCCTGGCTCCCCCAAAGGCTGCCGCTGAGCTGGGGGACAGGGCTCTGCTAGCACAGACTGTTCTGTTTCTCGCTGGTCCATCAGCCAGGGTGGCCTGCCAGCCGGTGGGACCCCACGGTCCTCTGTAGTCACGTGGGTGATCAATCAGTGTGTCTGGACAGAGGCCACAGTGGTGAACTCTTCTGGGCCCCAGGAGCCCACAGGTGTCAGCGTCCACACAACTTTCCTTCCTTGGCTCCGGGAGAGCCTGATCGGAGGTGGGGGCTCAGACCTGATGATGACAAGCTTGTCCGTCCTTGGATGAGGGGCACCTTGGAGCAACCCCTCCCAGGAAGAGCTGGGGCTCCCCCTCCTCCCACCATGGCCTCTCCATCTTGCCAGCACTCATCTGCTGCTCCACAACACAGGTGATGTCAGCTCCTTGCTGTCCTGGTTCCTTGCACATGCCCCCAAGCCCACAGGACACTGGCCTTGAGTGCCTCACAGTCCTGGGGAGCTGACTCGCAGGGAAGTGGGTGGGGTGGGCCGAGCCCTGATGAGCGGTTCCCAGAGTCTGGTTGGTGGGGAGACAGAAGTTGTAGAAGGAGCGGGACTCCTGGGCTCTCGCTTCTGTCCCGGGATGGGAGCTGCTGCTAGAGGCCAGGCATCATCCCCCAAGCCCCTCTGCCCCTGAGGTCTCATGGCAGCTCCTGGATCATCCGCCCTCTTGGCTTCACCTCCCTCGCAGCAGGCTGCAGGTTCTGGAGTGGGGTCTTTGCCACCACACCATGCCTACCTCCAGCGGGCGCCTGTGGCTTAGGTCAAGGCTGCATGTTTGCAGAGTTGTTCCTGTCTGTAGGCGCCGCCTAGTGAGCCAGCACAGGGCAGTCTTGGCCGGGCCCCGCAGCCTCGTGAAGGCCACGGAGAATCCCATGTTTGTGCTTTGCCCGTGGGCCAGACTCAGGTGCTGGTTCTGGGAGTACCTCGAGGGCCCTGCTCCCCAGCCCCCTGAAAAATCTGGTGGTGGCTTGCCTGCAGTGGGGAGACTCATCGTGGAAAAAGGAATCCTGCCTTGATCTCATACACACAGAGCTTTAATTAAACACACTCATGAGACTGTAATGAGCCATTCATTTATTTAAATAGGGTGAGTTGTTTCATTAATTTTTTGCAAACTGCAAGCAGCTGTCCTAAGATGAACTGTTTGGAGACAATCTTCTACTCCCCGGGGGGACAGTCTGGGGTGAGATTCTGACCCTGTCCCCATTCCACACGGGGCCACCCCCAGGTGACTGCTCCCGCTTGTCTCCTCCCAGCTGTCCCACCCCCGGATGCACGGGCTCGGGGCATATCCGTGGCAAGTACTCCAGGCACCGAAGGTGAGGAGCTGGCGGGCCCTCAATGGGTTCCTGGGAAAGAGGTTGGCTGGGGGGGTGGAACTCCTCTCCTGTTCTGCAACCCTCTGTGGGCAGAACTGTCCACCTCTGCTCTGGGCAGATGAGCCCTGGTGGCCCCCTGTGCAACCCTGAGCCTTTCTGGGTGTCTCGCCAGTGGGGCTGCTCTGAGGCTGAAGGAGGCCTTGTGGGTGAACCCAGAACAGAGCCAGCACATGGTGGGGTGACTGTTTTCACTGCTGTCCTCCTGGGGGTCTCAGGGTCCCACTGGACCTCAGGGGCCTCTGACTGTGGTGCCCGGTTCAGGGGGAGGGGGAGGGTGGGAAGGTTCTGGAGGTGGAAAAGAAAGCCCTGGGTGCTCCTGGGGGTGGTGGGCATGGGGCAGAGTAGCCTGGGCCAGCCCCCATCCCCAGCCAACCCAGAGCGGTGACTCTTGCATGGACAGGGCCCCCTGAGGTTAGGCCTCCCCAGACAAGCAGGAAGTGAAATTTAAAACAATCTGGTGCTTTTTAATGTGGACACTTACTGTAAAATTTTGAACACATCGATCTACCAGTCTTGCTTTTGGGTTTTGGTGGAGGGTGGGGATGAGAGGCAAAGAGAAGTTTTCAGGATAGGGGAAGAGCTGCAGAGGGTGAAGGGTCGGGGGACTGGGAGATGCTGATGAGGGGGGGCCCGGCCTCCTCCCTACCAGTTTGCAGAGCTGCCCTTTGGCCAAGAAGAGGAAGCTAGAGGGCCCTGAGGCCGAGCACCTGGGGTCCAAGCGGAAGGCACCCCCGCTGAAGCTGGCTCTGGACGAGGGCTACGGCGTGGACAGTGACGGCAGCGAGGATGCTGAGGTGAAGGACGCCTCTGTTTCTGATGAATCGGAAGGAACTGTGGAGGAGGACGAGGCCGAGGCGTCGGGACAGGAGGAGATTCATCGCCCCGAGCCAGCTGAAGGTGCTTTGTTGCTCTGTCTCCCCTGAATAAAGGCGCTTAGTGTGGCCCCGGAGAATTGCAGCCTGTGGGCGGGCAGGGCTCCCGCGAGCCAGGAAGCCCTGCTGAGAACAAGTGCCTCTTGTCCAACATTTGGGACTTCCTGGGGAGGGGCCGGCTCTGGGGGCTCAGGGTCTGTGTGTGAACACTGTGCTTTTGGATGTGTGTCTGTCTGCATGTGTGACAGACAGACGGACAGATGGATGTGGCTGTGGGTCTGTATGGGGTGGTCTTGGACAGACTCACCCCACTTGGCCCCAAAAGAGCCACCTGGTTGGGGGGCAGGGGTCTGCTTGGCATTAAGGGAGATGGTGGGGGTGTCCAGGGAAGCTAGGCTGGGCAGTGAGAACTGGGGGGTCTCCCTCCTGTGACCTTCTTCCCTGCAGGGCCCCCAGTTCTTGGCCATCACTAGTGTGAAGGTAGGGCATGTCTGTGTCCTGAGACCCTGCCAACTGTGGGGTCCTGGGGGTGTGGCAGAGGCTGGAGGCCCAAACCCTCCCCTCCAATACATTCATGTTTCTGGTATTCTCCCCTTATGGGATCTGGGGTGGATTCTGACTTCACTTTAGAGCCACTGTAGGGAGACTTCTTGCAACCTGCCTCCCTGTTGGGGACCTGGCTGTGCCTGAGAGGGTGCCGGGTCAGGGACTTGGCCTTCTGGCTTCCTTACACAGGAGGGAGCTCTGTGCTCTGGCTCAGCCCTCCTGAAGGGGGAGCAGGCGGGCTGGCTCTCACATCCTGGGGTCCTTATCCACCACCCAGGGGGCCCGGGTGTGGTGAGAACCCACTGCATCTCAGCCACAGCGATGAAATGATTGAACCTTTAAAAACAGCTTTTGCTGCTTCTCAGTTATGAAACAGTGTTAAAAAGTCTTATGCATTCTTTAGGCTCCATTTTATGAAATGCAGATTTTCCTGATTTAAAAAAGTACACATAACAGGGAGGACTGTTAATCAAAAATATTTCAAAAGTACAGCAGTGATTTCTCCAGGCAGACAAAAACGGCTATGTCGATCCTGTTTCTGGGGTCTGGTGTCCTCTGGCTGTGGTGGAGTACGGTGAAGGAACCAGAGCCAGTGGCCTGGAGACACACTTCCCCCCACCCTGTTCCATATGGTTTCTGATTTTGTGTAGGAAGGAGCCCAATAAAAGCGCATTTTGGATCCAATCCCATCAGCAGCCCCTCAGGCTCCTCCAAGGGCAGCTATAGCAGCTATCAGGAAATCATCGCAACTTCTCTCCTAAATTTGGGCCAAATCGCTGAAGAGACCCTGGTTGGCGGAGACTCAGGCCAGGTGGCCACGCCAGGCCTAGTTCAGGAGGCTGAGGAAGAAGCCACCAGTGACGAGGGGGAGAAGGAGGACTTTATCCAGCCGGAGGACGTGGAGGAGGTGATTGAAGTCACCAGCGAGCACTCCCAGGAGCCGTGTCCCCAGTCTCTGGAGAGTGTGGCCAGTGAGGCATCCTGCAAACAGAAAGTGACCCTGGGCAACGAGGAGGAAGAGGAGGAGGAGGAGGAAGATGAGGAGGAGGAAGAAGATGACGAGGAGGACGAGGAAGACGAGGAGGAGGCCCCGCCCGATGTAATCTGCCAGGAGGATGCCCCCCACATCCCTGCCCCAAAGAGCCCTCAGCCCCGGGGCCCGGTGCCTCCCAGCCCCAAGCCCGGGTACTCCGTCCTGGTGGAGGTGCGGTCCGATGACGGCAAAGACGAGGACTCGCGCTCCCAGAAGTCTGCGGTCACAGACGAGTCGGAGATGTACGACATGATGACCCGTGGCAATCTGGGCCTCCTGGAGCAGGCCATTGCCCTGAAGGCAGAGCAGGTGCGGGCTGTCTGTGAGCCGGGATGCCCACCTGCTGAGCAAGGCCCACTGGGCCCGGGCGAGCCAGGGAAGGCAGCGAGGCCCCTGGACGCTGCCCGGAAGAACTACTGCAGCAAAGGTAGGCTGGACTCCCAGGGATGGGACCCATGGACATGCCCTGAGGATTTCACTGGCTGGGGGTCATGGGAGGTGGGGAATGTTGGCCAGACAGACACAGACTGTGGTCGTGAGGCAGGAGGCAGGGCTGAGAGCACTAGAAGGGCATTGGCACTGGTCCTCAGGGACCCTGATACTGAGGCACAGGTGCCCAAGAGCCCTAGACAGAGGCCAGTGGCAGCGAGCTCAGGAGGGCGATGCCTGGGAGAGGTTTGTGAGCCCCTGCATGCCTGGGGATCAAAGGACAACCTCCTCCCATTTGAATCAGGCAGAGCCCCCAGTGGCCCTGCCCTCCTTGGGGTGGGCATTCTGAGCATGGTCCGTGATTTCTGCATTCTATAAAAGGGGATGACGGCTCCATTGGAAGTTTCCCTGGGACACTGGCTATGCCCTGGGGACCATGTGTGTCCTGAGAAGTCTTCCCTTCTGCCCCCAGACTTACAGTGACCTCTTTGGCCTGCAGAGGCTTAATGAAGTCAGTAGCTGAGGTTTGGGGTTAGGTTTCTGCCTAAGCCTTTATTAGCTGCTTTGATTCCCTTGTGGCTCAGACCTTAAAGAGTCTGCCTGCAATGTGGGAGACCTGGGTTCTATCACCAGGTTGGGAAGACCCCCTGGAGAAGGAAATGGCAACCCACTCCAGTATTCTTGCCTAAAATTCTATGGACGGAGGAGCCTTGCGGGCTACAGTCCATGAGGTCTCAAAAAAGTTGGACGTGACTGAGCACTTTCATTTTGGGTGAGTTACTTAGCTTCTGTCTCCCCTTTTCATGTCAACATGAAGGACAAGTCCTGGCAGGGATGTTGCTGCACATCTTTACCTCTCTGTGGAGGCCTGGGGCTGCGCAGGACATTAGCAGGACAGGGCAGAGGGCACCAGCCGCCATCTAGGTGGTCTTCCTCAAAGGGCTGCAGTCCCACTGTTTGTGGGTTTTCATCATATGTGGGCTTTTCCACTTAGACACCCTGGACAGTCCCTCTAGTATCCCCTTTCTGTCCAGCCCTGGTGCCTTTCGGGCTCTTGGGCGGTCTGGTCATTCTCCTCTCTGGACAGCCAGAGTGAAGGCTTGTGAGCTGCACTACCCGCTCCCTGCTCACCACTACCCCCCAGCTTCCTGGCTGCCCTCTGACCCAGAGGCTCTGTGTGTTTAGATCCCTCAAGAACTGAAAAGCGTGAGATCAAGTGTCCGACACCAGGCTGTGATGGCACCGGCCATGTCACTGGGCTGTACCCACACCACCGCAGCCTGTCTGGCTGCCCCCACAAGGACAGGATCCCCCCGGAGAGTGAGTAGCTCTGCATGGCTCGGGCTGCCTCTGGTGTTTGGATGGTGCCCACGTTAGGGAATGGTCACACAGAGCCCTGTCCCTCTGATCCGGAATGTCCTGAAGCCCATACTTGAGCCCTACAAGCATGGGGACGTGGAGCGTCCAGTGATTCACCTGGAGATGGCAGCCTGGATCAGGTCCCCAGGAAGCCCGGCCATGGACACAGGAGGGGAGGCTGGGCTCCGGAGCTGGGGAGGGGCCACTTTCTATGTGCTGGGGGCTCAGAAGGAGAAAGGCTGTCCTTGCTTCCGTGTGAGGAGCAGTAAGTTGAGAGGAGGGATGTTGTACGGCTGAACTGGTTTCTGTCCTAGGGAGCCAGGGCCACCGTGGGAGGGGTTCTCTGCCTGAGCCAGGCCTGGGGCCCCTGCATGCTCCATGGAGGGAGGTGCTCACTGGCTCCCCCCGGTTGTCTTGCAGTCCTGGCCATGCACGAGAACGTGCTCAAGTGCCCCACTCCTGGCTGCACAGGCCAGGGCCACGTGAACAGCAACCGTAACACACACAGAAGGTATGGGGCTGGGCTGGGCAAGGTGAGGGTGGTGGCGGGGGCATGCCGTGGGTGCCCCAACCTGGCACATGTCTCGGGCTTGCCCTGTCCCCCTGTGTGCTGCTCTTTGGGGTGAGTGCAAGGTCAGGACAGACCTTTGGTGGGCGCAGAGCAGCACCTGGAGGGGTGGTCACTGGTGCCACTCTGAGGGGATGCTGAAAGACCAGAGTTTGCCTGGAGGAATGGGCGCCTGCAGCCTGGGGGAGAGCCAGGTGGGGACCCTGCCCTGTGGAGATTCGGGAAGCTTCTGGACACTAGCTCTTGCTTAGGGCACAACCTCAGCATCTGGGCCTAAGCCTGGTTGCTCTGTGGGGTGCTGAGACCCTGGTGCTTCCATTGTCTGCCGTCTTCTGGCCACTGCTTCCCCGAGCCCTGGGCAGCTGTGGCCGTGGCAGCAGGTACTTTTGCTCCAGTGAGTGACGCTCAGCTGAAAGGATGGCCAGAGTCTTTGAGGTCCAATCACTGAGAAGAGGCTGAACTCCCCAGCACTGCTGTGATGATGTCACCTCCCCTGGTCGATCAGCTTCTTAGTTCTAACAGTCGAAGCCGTATCCATGGTGTCTTGGATTAGGTGCTTTCCCGGGAAGGACCTGTGCCCTTCTGCTGTGACCCTGGTGGTCTGTATCCTCCAGGGTCAGCACGCAGTTTATGGCCTGTGGGTGACAGAATTTGAGCAGCTCTGGTTGGTGGTGAGGGGAGAGGAGCAGAGTGAGAGGCAGGCCCATCCCCCAGACCCATCCAGAGGAGATGCCTTCGTCCAGAGCCTCGAAGAACTTTAGGATGCATTTTGTCTCCGTGTGTCATTGGCTTAGAATTTCCAAAAACAGAAACTGAGTGAGCAGCAGGTGCTCTGAGGGCTGAGGACAGAGCTGGGGGAAAAGCCCCCTCTATAGGAATGATGGCCTTCCCTGGGTGCCTGCTGGTGTCTGGCTCCTGGCTTAGATGGGTGGGGCCTGGAGAAGGGCTCAGCTGTCCTCCTGTCCTGTCTCTAGTTTGTCTGGGTGTCCCATTGCTGCTGCCGAAAAATTAGCCAAATCTCATGAGAAGCAACAGCCACAGCCGGGAGAGCCTTCCAAGAATAGCTCCAATTCGGATCGGATCCTCAGGTGAGTGACATGAGCCACAGACCCGGAGGGGTGTTCTTGGACCCAGGTTCGTCTGCCCAGCATATAGTGAGGCCAAACAAACCAAAACTGGGTTGGAGTTTGGAGCAGAGAAAAGTTTATTACAAAAGCTATGGAAGGAGAATGGGTGGCTGGTGCTCAGAACATTCAACCTCCCATTGGCTTTCTGGTGAGGTCTTTACAGACAATGTGAGGGAAGAGGGCTTGAGATGCATAATAGCTTGTGGACTTTCTGATCGGCTGATGGTGAGGTGGTAGGGGATGTTTCAGAAATCTCAACCTTACTATTCTAACATTCTGGGGTCCACAGACTTGTGGTTGGCATGTCATCACCACTGGGCAAGCGTCTTATTTTCTGCAGAGTGACTCAGATATGTGTCAGATTGTTCCCTCTGTCTCTTCCAGAGGAACTAGGAGCCCTGTTGTGACTCTGTTGTCCTCTTAATTGACTGACTTGCTCTTTGGAACCTGGAAGCTTGAGGGGGCTTACAGCCTTTTTCCTACAAACTAGAAATGGGGACACAGAGGGGCTTTTGTCCCAGGAAAGCCCTGTAAGGTTCTGCTTGATTTCAGGGGCTGCCTCGCGAAATGCCCAGGGAGCATCTAGTCTTTCTGCAGCTGCATGTGTGTGCATGAGTGTGTGCATGAGTGTGTGCACACACATGTATGTATAGTATGTGCAAGCGCACATATGTGTGCACAATGTGCATGTGTGTGCATGTGTGTATGCATGTGTGTGCGGGTGTGCATGTGTATACTGGTGTTTCTTAGCAGTTTTGGGGGCACCAACACCCACAAGGCTGTCCTTGCCTTGCTCTCTCTGAGGGTATTGATATTACTGCTGGATGATTCAGGATTTTTTTGTGGAGATTCTGGTTCTGTTTGGAGAGTGGGCTGTACCAGCTGAGGGCTAAAACCCTGGATCGGGAAGAGGCGCCCTCCAGAGTGCCACCCCCATGACCCCTGAGGTGCTGTGTGTTTAGGTGCATGTGTGTGAGTGTCTGTGAGTGTGTGCATGCATGTGTGCCTGCAGATGTGGCTTATTGATGACAGGGCTTCTGAAAGGCCATTCAGAATGAATCTGCTTTGTGCAACCTCACCCACAAGCCCCCATTGGTGTCACAAGGAAGGCCAGAGGCTGGGGAACTTTCCTAAGGCCACATGTCCCCCGCCCCGGCCAGCCTACCTTCAGAATCTCCTCCCAAGGGGACCAGTTCCCTGGCGCCCACCATGCTGGGGGATTCTCCCCCACCGTGTCCTTGCTCGGTGGACTCCTTGCTCCGTTGTCTCGAAGGAGCTAGAACTCACAGGTCCTCTCCTCCAGACTCCTGTTCTACATCTGTCATAGACAGAAGAGTTTGGGAGACCAGGGCCACCACACCCTGTGCAAGCTCAGTGCTCAGCAGTCGTGAGCATGGGGCACAGCATAGACCTTGGTCTGGAGACCCACCTGTCCCTTCCTTGGCAGGTGCCTGGTGGACACTCAGACCAAGGATTGAGCTGCACACCTTGGCTTCGGAGGGTGGTGTGTGAGGAGTCTCTGTGCGGGGCCCACCCTCCCACACTGGGGAGCCCTTGCAGCCCGGTCCTTGGGTGCCCTGTACTCCATTTGGCTTCTTTCATCCAGGAAACTGCTTCTTTTCTCCATCTTATCCCTGTTCCTTCTAGCTTCTTGTCAATTTTCCTAACTTGATCCAAGTCACTGACAAAATGTCAAACCACCAGGCAGGTAAGGCTTGGGAAGGCCAGTCTTGGGGCCAAACAGGTGCTGAACATGGAGGTGGTGTCCCAGGAAGGTGACTGCAGTTTGTTCCCCTGTAAAAATGAGACAACAGTCTTATCGACTTGAATTTCTCATGAGGCCTGGACGAGGCAGTGACAGTTTGTTTCCTGTGCCCTTGGTGAGGAGCCCTGATGGTAGCAGCTGCGGCCAAGATGCTGGAGCCTTCCACCCAGGCTCCATGCGTTCTGTGTAGCCACGTTTTGGGTATTGTACTCTGGGGTGTGCAGATAATCTTAAAAAAGTTTTGCTGGCATCACGGACACTGAGTCTGCTGCTGGACGAAGCCCGGGCTGAGGAAGCCACCCAAACATGGCGCAGGCATTAAGTTTAGGCCTCATCTTTCCTTGAGGGTACCTGAGAGCTCGCCAGCAACTTCTCAGATGCACTGACCAGTTCAGAGTGGAGGAGGAGAGCCTACTCGTGCTCTGGTGGCATCGCTTTCCCAAGGCCCCTCAGAGCTGGCCTTATCGTGGTTCTGGGGTCTTCTTAGCAACAGGCTCCTCTTTTCGGGTCATGCTCAAGTTCTTCCAGTGCTTAACACCTCGGGGCCTCTCCATTGGTCCTTCTTAATCCCACACTTTCCAGAGTGAAGTCACTGCTTGGCTCTAGAGGCCTCCTTTGCTTTTCTTCTCTCTGAGCCCCTCACTGGAATGGTACAGACCCCGTGGCCTTTGTCTTCTGCTGGTCTTGCTCCTGCCCCGGTCCCTGGGCTGTGGAGGCTGGTGTCTCCACACCATCTCTTGTACATTTAAAAATCAGAGCTCTTCCAGAGCTCCAGCAACATTGACTGAATGCTTGCAGCACTGCTTTCATGCCTCTCCTTAACCCACTGCAGATCCTCCAGGGTCGTCTTAAGCGACTTTAAGCAGAGGACAGTGGAGGGCTAGACCCCTCCCTTCAAAGAGTAGAGTCACTCTGCCCTGAGGCTGATTCTCAGAAACACCCCCATGTCTCCTCCAGGTGCCCCCACTCCCCCCTGTCTGGGGAATTGTATTAACAAGTTATTCTACCACCAGAACTCCATCTTGATTGCCCACTACCCTAAAGATGCTTCTCTGGGGCTCCCGGCCAAGGGCTCAGAAACCAGCTCTCCTTTTCTCCTCCTCTGGCTGATGCTGTCTTCAAGGGGAGACGTGCTGTTTCTTCAAGTCTCCTAGTGCTTCTTCCCCGTGGCAGTTCTTCCTGCACATCCCACGGGCACCCTGTAGTAGTGGGCAGGGGAGGGCCTGCCTGGGTCTCAGTCCACACTGGCCTCTGAGGGATGGTTGGGCTAGGCCATGGTAGAGGGGGCTGGGTTGAACAGCACAGGGTCCTTGTGCCCTATCTTCATGCTTGTCATCTCCATCCTGCACCTCAGGCCCATGTGCTTCGTGAAGCAGCTTGAGGTCCCTCCATACGGAAGCTACCGGCCCAGCGTGGCCCCCACCACACCCAGGGCCAACCTGGCCAAGGAGCTGGAGAAGTTCTCCAAGGTCACCTTTGACTACGCAAGTTTTGATGCTCAGGTTTTTGGTAAGCGCATGCTTGCCCCAAAGATTCAGACCAGCGAAACCTCACCGAAAGCCTTTAAATGTAAGTTGGGGAAACTACTCTCAGGTGGTGTAGGGTCTGAGGGGCAGAGGAGGAGGAACCCTTCCCCAGGAGCATATAGGAACTCTCCATCTGGGGCCCCAGCTGTTCCAGTCTACCGTGGTGACTTTATCAGAGTCTGTGTCTCACCCATGTTGCAGCCTTCACCTTCATCATCAAACTGGATGTGTCTCCTCACTACACGTTGAAATAAAACCCGTGTGTTATGGTGTGCATGTCCAAAGAGTTAAGCCCAACATCGCTGACATGGTTTACCCTAGGAGTGTGCCCTCCCCGGCTGTCCTTTTCCAGGCAGTTTATTCCAGCTCAGGGGTGGAGGCCTCGGGAGAACCACTGTACTGAGCCTGGATACCCCACAGATACTTAGACAGGGACCATCTTGCTGGATACAGTATGCCACTTGTAATATTAGCAACAAAATTTCTGTGTGCTTGCACTAACAAAATTCATTCCTACAAACCTTTGAGAACACGCTTTCCTGTCTTTCTAAAAAATTATTTATATACTTAGGTTGCACTGGTTCTTTGTTGCTGGGCAGGCTTTCTCTAGTTGTGGCGAGCAGGGGCTATTCTTTGTTGCAGTGAACAGGCTTCTCACTGTGGTGGCTTTTGTTGCGGAGCACAGGCTCTAGGTGTGTGGGTTTCAGTAGTTGCAGCTTGAGAGCTCAAGAGCATGTGCTCAGTAGTTGTGGCACACCAGCTTAGTTGCTCCTCAGCATATGGAATCTTCCCGGACTAGGGATCAAACCTGTGTCTTCTGCATTGGCAGGTAGACTCTCAACCACTGGACCACCAGGGAAGTCCCCTGTCTTTTTTTGGTCACTTATTACACTAATTTGTGAGTTGCAAGCCAATTAGCTTGCATAATACCTACAAAATGGAAAACTGCCCCAGTGTACATAAGATTGGAACTGGCAGCTCATGATGGATGTTCAGACGCCAAAATCAGCAATGATGAGTTTCCTACGAGTTCATACTAGAAACACTGATCAATGGCCAGCTGGAGTGCAGGCATCTCTCCAACTTGTTAGGAGAGGGCTTCATGCAAGGCACCCACTTATGCTGGGGCACTGGAAATTTGCTGGTGATATTGTGATTACTCAGAAATCATACCTGAGAGTGATCTTATGGTTATAGCACAGTTATTAGAAAAGATGACATTTTATGCTTTCATGTTTCATGTTCTGTTGTTGTTCAGTAGCTAAGCCCTGTCCAACTCTTTGCAATCCCATGGACTGCAGCATGCCAGGCTCCTCTGTCCTCCACTAACTCCCGAGTTTGCTCCGATTCCTGTCCATTGAGTTAGTGATCCTATCTAAATCTTATCCTCTGCTGCCCCCTTCTCCTTTTGCCTTCAGTCTTTCCCAGCATGAGGGTCTTTTCCAGTGAGTCAACTCTTCACATCATTATATTTGAGCAACAATGTTATTTACTAAAGCTGTGGCTATTGAGGATGTGACACCAAAATCAGCCTTTTGAGATATTGTGACAAAATTTGCCTACTTGAGTGACACTGCAGACACTTTCCTATTTACAGACTTTAGTCTCTCAATAAGCTTTTGCCAATAGATAACTTGTTCTGTTTGCAATATCAGGGATGCTAGCCTGTCTTTGCCCTTTCTGCCCAAGTTATGGTCAAGACAGAAGTGGCCTTCTCAATACCCAACAAGGATGGGGGCGGATTGGGGTATGCGAGCTCACGGCAGTGGGTGGATGACCCAGCCCTAGGCCCACCTTCACACAGCTGTGCGCAAAGCCCCCAGCCACCCTAAAGCTCCCCTGTGTGTCTTTGTGGACACCTCCCGTTCGTGTTGTATATCAGCCTGCTGTTGTTCCCTTTTTGCAGCCAAACCTTTCCCAAAGGCCTCTCCCCCCAGGCCCAGCCCCTGCACCTCATCCTCTTCTGCAGGCTTCGACTACGCCCACGACGCAGAGGCTGCACACATGGCCGCCACTGCCATCCTGAACCTCTCCACGCGCTGCTGGGAGATGCCTGAGAACCTCAGCACGAAGCCACAGGACCTGCCCAGCAAGGTGGGTGAGACTCCTGCTGGGAGCCCCTTCTGAGGCAGAGAAGGTGGGTGGGGTTTGCAGTCAGGACTATATGCAGCCTGCACAAAGCAGGCTCAGCAAACCCAGCGTCTGTGAGGGGAGTATCACTCTTTCCTTTTCTCCCTCCTGACCACTGACCCTGCTGGCCAAAGACACTGGATGGTCCCCCCTCCCTGAGCACCACGCGCTGTGCCTAAGGGCGCCAAGCAGCTGTACACACCTGGTCCCGCATCTACCAGGATGCGGGCTTCCACTGGCTTCCATGTGTTCCTGTGCCCACACCGGTGGCCATGTGCTGGGGCTGGTTTTATGGGCTGGAGGCCTTGAGGGAGTGGGTAGAGTGAGTCCATGTCAGCTTCAGGATACTTTCTTCTCAGAGGCTCTTCTCTTCTTTTTGGCCCTGTTCCCTTTGGAGGGAAACACTGTCTGGGCTTCTGGTGAGCTGAGTAAGGGGTCATAAGGTACATGTGGGAGGGGATGGTGTCTAACCTAGACGTTGCCTTTGCAATGCAGGCCGTGGAAATTGAGGTGGATGAGAACGGAACTCTGGACTTGAGCATGCACAAGCACCGCAGGCGGGAGAACACTTTCCCCAGCGGGAGCAGCAGCAGCAGCAGCCCTGGCGTGAAGTCACCTGATGCCTGCCAGCGCCAGAGCAGTACCAGCGCCCCCAGCAGCTCCCTGACCTCACCCCCGTCCAGCCATGCTTCCCGCCAGGATGAGTGGGACCGGCCTCTGGACTACACTAAGCCCAGCCGCCCACGAGAGGAGGAGCCTGAGGAGGTGGGTGCTGTCCAGGTGGGAGGTCCAGAGCTGTCGGATGGTCAGGGGAGGCGGGGATCGAGCAGGCACTGGCGGTCAGCTTGCCTTACCCAAGGGTCGGCAGAAACACACAGACATCTCCAGGTAGAGGCTCTATGGGTCCTACCCATTTCCACGCAGGGTTCTGCCTGCTCCGGGCAGCTAAGTCCACCTTCCTGGAGGTGTTTTCACCATTGGTTCAGTTTGTGGCCTTGTCCCCTCCAAGAGGGAGGTGGTCTTCTCACCTCTGGAGCATTAGTGGTCAGCAGCAGTGTGGCTCTCCAAGAGTGTGGAGAAGACAGGAGCCCACGGTGGGGGGCTCGGAGGATGATTCAGGAATGACCTCAAATTCCTCGGTTTCGTGGGCCTCCCACCAGGCTGCTGTCCAGATGAGGGACACCCTGAACTCTGGTGGCAGCCTCTCCTCACCATGCCCTGGACACTGCAGGCGCCTGGTTCCCTGGACAGAGGCAGGAGAAAACGCCTGGCCTCAAAAGCACCTCTGGCAGCCAGTGGTCTGAGTCCCAGAGCAGTTCTGCCTGCTAAGGAGCGGCAAGCCAGGCCTCTGTGTTGACCCTTCCATAGCCTGGAGGCTGCTGGAACATTCCCTTCCTGGTGGCTCCACCCACTCAAGGTGGGGCTGATGGGGGGGCGGGGCTTCCAGCACAGCAGAACTCTGCTCTGAGGGTACAACTCCAGGCAGGCTCTGCATAGTGTGGACAGGCCTGAGGGTTCCCTCCCAGCCCTTCCCTGCCTGCCAGCTCCCACTTCCAGGAGGGTGAGGGGGTTAGGTCCCTGAGTGTGTGCTAAGTCGTGTCTGATTCTTTGTGACCCCGTTGACTGTAGCCCTCCAGGCTCCTCTGTCCATGGGATTCTCCAGGCAAGAATACTGGGGTGGGTTGCCAGTGCCCTTCTCCAGGGGATCTTCCTGACCCAGGGATCGAACCTGAGTCTTTTGTGTCTCCTGCATTGGCAGTTCTTTACCACTAGGGACACTGAAGTAGAACCAGGAGGCCCCTGGAATGGCTGTGTCTGGGCAGGGCCAGCCTGGTGGAGAGCAGGGCGGTATGTGGGTGGAGCCAGCCCCTTGGCAGGCAGGGGGTAGGGGCAGATCCCTGCAGAGGAGGAGCAGTGGTGGTGAGGATTCTACTCTGAGAACCCACCCTCTCTACAGTTTCATCTTCAGGGGTGGCCAGGTTCCTCCATCTACCGGCCTCACATGTACCCCTACTTTACAGAGGAGCCGCCTGGTCTACATCTAGGTCATCTGGCTCAGTCATATGGCAGCAACTCAATGTCAAGGCTCAGAAGAGGGATACTTCTCTCAGCGTGAGCCCCTGGGGTAGGGAGGCTGGCTGAGGGTCCGTGGGGGCTGGCAGGAGGGCTTCTCTCTGCTAATGGGGCCATGCCTGAGGCCCGGTAGGGCCCTTCTGTTCCTGTTGGGGTCACCAGGGCTATGTCCCCACATCTGCTGTCACCCTTGTTCAGTTCTGTGCCTGTGACCTTGTCTCCCCTCGACCTCTCCAGTGGTCCTTTCCCTTTCCTTGGCCCCCAGCTCAGGCTGGTCTCTCTGGCCACTTCCCCCTGCCACCTGCCCAGCCCTGCCCCACCTTCCCATGCCCTCTGAGCATCCTCACCCCTTCCCAGGACTATTGTGTCATCTGTGGGTGACCTGGGTCTCAGAGGTCCTGGGGAGCCTGGCCACGGAAGCCTGCTGCTGTGCTCCATGGCTGACCATCCACTCTCTGGCGGGAAGCCTCGGTTAACCCCCAGGCCCTTCTTTTCCTCCCCTGTGCCCTGAGCACAGGTGCCCCTGTCCTACTGGGTCACCCCCTGGATCAGGCCTTCCCAGTTCATCTACTATGGCCTGGACTCCCTGTTCAGACTCTCTTTCTAGCTCTGCCCAAGGCTCCTTGACCATCTTGCCCCAGCCTTTAGCATCGACTCCCACCCTACTCTGGTAGCAGTGCCCCCTCATGTCCCTAAACAGCCCTGGCCCCTGCATCTATGGGCCTGTGAGATGTGCTTCTTGCTCTGGAGCTACCTCTGCCCCTGTGATTCTGGGAGGCCCTTTTTTCCCCCTGAAGGCTGGACTCACGTTGAGGGTCTTTGTCCACATAGCCGTGCCTTGTTCAGTAGTAACAGTAGCAACAGCATCGCATGGTACCAGGGGCCTTTCCTCATCTCAGCCCCAGACATCCTGGGAGGGCCTGCTACTGTTTCCAGCTTAAACGTGTGGTGCCCAGGAGGTTGGACAACGTGCCTGGGACACACAGCAAGTGCTGAGACTTGAATCGTGATCCACCACCGGGGCTATTGATCTGTTGCAGACTGACCTGTAGGGCACTGACCTTGCTGACTCTCATGGACGTCTTCCCTGCCCTGGATGGAGGGAATGTGCTTGTTCACCACTGCGTTCATAGTGCCCTGTTCTTGGGTGGCAACTGAACACTTCCGGACCCTGCATTTGAGGTCAAAGTGCTTATTAAAGTGCCTGTTGCAGTCAGATCATCGTGCTGGCTGGGCCCACAGGGCCAGATGGCTCTAAGGTCGCTGTGATTATTTCTATCATGCTTTGTACATTGTACCACTCATCCTCATAGCATTTCAACAGACACGCTCAGTGGTAACAGCCCCAAAGGAGCTGCACTAGGTGTGCACTCTGGTGTGCAGAAGGTGACCCAGGGCAGGTGGCCGGAGGTGACACACAGGCCAGAGGCCACGGAGGGTGTCAGAGCAGCCGGCCTGGGTGGCATCCGTGTCTCCCCGTTCCTGGGTCAGCTCGGGAGCAGTGGCTGAGGTGAGGGAGCACCCTAGCCCGTCTGGGTGCTGCTTCCTGCATCTTGGGGGTATGTCTTACTCCTGTGTGCATAAGACAGGAGACTCCAGAAAACGCCTCCGTGGACCCTGTTCTGAAAGGCCCCTCTCCCTCAGCCCCGGGCTGGGCGCCCAGCCCCCGCCAGCTGGTTAAAACATCTCCCTGCTGGTCTTTTGCAGTCAGAGCCAGCAGCCCATTCTTTTGCTTCTTCTGAAGCAGATGACCAGGAAGTGTCGGAGGAGAATTTTGAGGAGCGGAAGTACCCCGGGGAGGTCACCCTGGCCAACTTTAAGCTGAAGTTTCTCTCCAAGGACATAAAGAAGGAGCTGCTCACGTAAGTCCCCGCCTTGAACGACAGGAGCCCCCCAGGGGACCTCTATAGTCTGGAAAGGAGCACACCCTAGTGGGAGCCTGTGACGACCAGGTCAGCCCCTGCACAGCCCTGTGCTGACCACCCTCCTGCCCTGGCCAACTTGGTGGGCAGAGGCTGAGCCACCTCTACTAGGACCTTCCTGGGCCAGACAGCAGGGCAGGTTCCCCTCACCCCTGTACCATGCTGGCCTCTAACCTGCTCCTTCAGGGTGATAAAGAGTGAGGATGAGCCTTCATCTGGCCCACAGAGCAGACAAGGGCTGAGGGGAGTGGACGCCTCCTGAGGCCCCACTGTGTGCCAGTCCTCGGCGTGCTCTGCCTTAGACTCGGTGCCCTCAGCCCTGGCAGCCAGAGCTAGTTTAACCAGATGCTACTGGAGAGGGGCCAGCTGCTGGCTAACTGCCACTGAGCACCACCTCCCCTAGGGGACGGTGAGAGGCCTGACACCTGCCCCACAGGTGATCCAGTCCTCACCTCTGCTCAGCGTTTGTCTCTGGGATTCCTCTTCGTGCCCCAAACGCCGCCAGCTTCCCCCTGCCCTGTATCTGGCTCTCCCAGGATGGCTCTGGCTGGGGCCTTGTCCTTGGAGAAGGCCCCGCCACATCAGGAAGGCGCCCCCCACCGCCCTGTCCACAAGCGTGGACACGTGTGCATGCACAGTGCGAGGGCTTCAGAGCATCTCGACTTTAAGTTGAGCTTCACTTTGGTTCCCTTTTCCTCCTTGAGCTGAGTGGTATGGGAGAAACTTGCAGTCGGAGAGGCGGAGGCGAAGGGTCTGCTCCGAGACGGGCAGGGAGCAGGTGCCGCCGCCCTCCCTGATGGACTCAGCCCTGGGGGCGGGTCTGGCAGGGTGCCTCGCTCTCTGATCTGACACTCTGTTTCCTTTGTCCAGCTGCCCTACCCCTGGTTGTGACGGCAGTGGCCACATCACTGGGAACTATGCCTCCCACCGCAGGTTCGTCCCCCGCTTGGGTCCGCCTGGCCTGGGTGCTGTGTGGTGGGTCTTCTCCCTCTGCTGCTCTGCTCCCCCTCTTTGGCTCATCCCAATATCCCATCTCTTCTCTTTCAGCCTCTCTGGTTGCCCTCTTGCTGACAAGAGCCTCAGAAACCTCATGGCTGCCCATTCTGCTGACCTCAAGTATGTCTGCCCTCCTGGCCTCCCATCTCTGGGGTGGCTTCCTTGCTCTGCTCACTCCTTTCATGAGGCTCCAGCCCAAATCAGCCTTCTCGAGGGCTCCGGCACGAGGCCGGCCCCAGCCAGAGGCGCAGGGCCGTGGGGCAGAGAGGCAGGGCCATGGACGGGCTGATTCTGCTTGGCTGGGATTCTCGCCACTCTGCCTGTCTCTCTCTGCTCTGAGCACTGCTGTCTGCCTGTCCCCTCAGGCCCAGGGCTGCTACGGGGTCCTGTGCTCCCCTCGGCCCTGCCAGCCTCTCTGAGGGCTGAGGGTCGGGAGGGCCAACAGGACGTAGGACCTGCCACTGGCTCCTGAGGACCCCTGATGGGCTGCTGTCTGGGCCTGCTTTCCCCTGCCGTGGAGATCTGGGAGAATTCCCGGACTGGCCATGGCTTGTGAGTCTAGTTGTGGCTCAGAGGGCTGCAGGCTGTGTAGCTCTTGCTAAGTGGACTGGATGCTGGTGATGGCTGAGAAACTCCGTGCTCGTCCCTCCTCCTGCACCCCTTCCAGCTGCTTCTGTCTTGGCCCCTGGTGCCCACCCCCACCCCACGCCTCACATCTATGCTCGCCCCTCCTTTTTGCTGTGCCTGCTCTCTGCTTCTGCTTCTCCTGCCCCTGACACCTGGGCAAGGCAGCCCAGTGGCAACCAGCCACTCTGACTGACAGCCTTGTTCAAGCGAGGAGCACACGCCCAGAGGTTTCCTGGCTCTCAGCGTCCTTCTGGGGCTGGAGTTGGGGATTGTGAAGGCCTTTGATTTCATGCCTTTAGTTGAGATGTGACATCATGGCTGGTGTGGCCCTGAGCCACATAGTGCTGACCCCGTGCTCCCAGGCTGAACTGAGGTTGTGGAAGGAAGGCCCCTTCTTGGCTCCTCAGGTAGCTCCCTCTCCTGGGGATTTCTCCCACTCTGGGCCTCTGTGTTGGGAGCCCTGCATCCAGGCCAGGTTTCACCAGCTTAGCCTGATCTGGGGCTCTGGTGCCTTTAAGATGAGGAACTACTACTGCTGGAAGCTTCCAGGGATCTGTGCTGACTTAGAACGTGCAGGAAGCTCCAGGTCTGTCTGAGCAGCGGATCCTGCCAGCCTCACTTCTGTGGCTCTGGGGAGCCTGTCTGGTCCTACTAGCCAGGAGAAGCATGTTGTTACCTGTTTTACCAGTGAGGTCTTCCAGTCCCACAGATGAGGCTGGGCAGAGTTCATGACCAGAAGCATGTTTCCAGGAGTTTTATCAGCTTTGACATTAGCATGTTCTGAGGCAGGTTCACACATGCACTCGCTGACCCCAAGTGCCCAACTCCAGAAATGCAATGAGACCCTCAGGCCTGTGGGCTTGGAATGCTCTTCCCCACCCTCCTCTTCCCTCTTTCCTTCCTCTCTTCTTCTACCGTCTTTCTCATGATCCTTTCTCCTGTTTTCTTTTCCAATTCAACCTGCTTTTCTAACTGATCAGTTTCTGTGGTTTTCCAGCTTGAGGGTGGTGGAATTCTAGAAGTGATCGCATGCCCTCAGTAGCCCTTTTCCTGCAGAGCAGTTGGTCAGGGTTCCTGGAAGTGACACATGGACTTGGTCCTTGGTCTGGGTTCAGAAAGGTGGCCAATAAGGAGAGTCAGTGCCCTTCTGAGATGGAGAGCCTGTGAAGAACTGTAACCCAAACTTGTTTGAAAGTTGGTGATGGAAAGTGTTCCTTGAATGAAAAATATCACTCCCCAATTCCCTTTTCCCCCCAGAGGTCCTACTGTGGAGGCTACTCCTCACCTGCTTCAGGCCACAGCATGGATGTGCCCTGGCTCCCTCTTGTTCTTCTCTCCTTCCCCTGCCCAGTGGGCGTCTGGCACCTTGATCAGCTTTGTGGCAGTGTTGGGTGAAGGTAACCCATCCACAGAGGGGCAAAGGCACCCATGCCATGCCTCGCAAATGAGTCTTCTTTGGTGGCCCCCCACCAACACTTGGGTGCAGTGACAGTCGCAGACGAAGTGTTTTCTGTGTTTTGATCACATTCCAAGGGCATTTATTCTTCCCTTCCAAGTGTCCCATGTGGTCAGAATCTGGGGACTTGAGTGCCTTGGGCCACATGGCCCCCTCCACATGTGGGGCTTATGAGCACAGCCACACACCCTGCTGGACCGTGATGGGGGAGCTCTGCACAGGTTGGGGGACATCCCCTGCCCTGGCCACGGGACATGGATAGCGGCAGGGTGAGGTCTGGCTTGAGCCAAACTGCCTAGCTTCATCCTCTGGCCCAGACAACGCACTCAGGAGAGATGGTGGCCGGCGCTGCCAGTGGCCAGTGCAGACACTTGCTTCTCCAGCCACGTGACATCATCTTCTCTTGGACACGACTCTTGGGGAAAAGCCATGACATCAGGCTGGCAAGGAAGGTTGGGGGGGATCCTGCCTTTCTGGAATGGGAGTGCCCCCATGTGTATGTTCTCACCGAGTCTCTCCCCGACCAAGACCCCCTCCTAGGCACTGCCAGAGGCTGCACCTTGCAAGGGTGTCACTCACAGAGAAGTGTATTGCTCACAGCCACAGAGGCTGGGGGCTGCTGTGAACCCACCACCCTGGCCACTGCCTACAGCGCTGAGCCCTATGTTCTGCAGCTAAGAAGGAGCAGGGAGGACTGTCCTTGCAGAGGGTGTCACAGAGCCTGGGCCTCAGTGCAGAGGGCCGTGCAAAGGCCTCCCTGGTCCTCACAGTGTAGTTCAGAGGACCTTCTTGAGCAGCTGGAGCCTGAGAACCTCAGGCCACTTGGAGACGCAGAGTGTCAGAGCAGGAGGTCCCAGCAGCTGGGGTTCATTTGAACAGGTGATGCTTACCTGGATGGAGGTGGTGGGTGATTTCCATTAAAATACAGAAGCCTCCTTGCCCCAGATGTGGGTTGAAATGTGACCACACATGACTGAGGTGGGGGTATCATAATCTCAGTGGGGTCTGAGTCACCCCAAAGCCTGACAGGAGGGAGATTGACCCATTGGCCAACTGCTAGGCCAGGGAAGAATCGATGGGTGGCCCTTGGGCAGGGACGAGGCAGGCACCTCGAGAAGGTCTGAGGGGCTGGGAAGGAGGCCCCTGGGCATCTAGCCCCTCTGTGTTGCCATGCTAGCCTAATGGGGGCGGCAGTGTCGGCCCGTGGACATCTGGGAGGAGGATGAAGAGGAAGGGCCTTGGGCGTGCCAGAGCCTGGGCACAAGGCAGCTTCCACTGATTGACAGGCCAACTTCAATGTCTGTGTCCTGCCCCAGCTGGTGCTCTGCCCCGCCACCCTCTAGGGCCAGTTTTCTGCTGAGGAATGGCCTTGGCTCCATAACTCTCTCTCTGTATGAGGATGAAGCCAGAAATGGCAGATAAACACCAGGGTCCTGCTGGGTCACACAGGATGGAACTGGGCCCTCATGAGGGATAAGGGGTGAGTAGCAGGCCCATCCTGGAGGAGGCGTCCCGAGGACCGCCTGCAGGGTAGGAAACTAGTGCTCTGATGCCAGCAGAAATCGATCCATGTTTCATCACTGGACGCTCAGGGAAAGATAGCTCAAGCTGGTGTATTAAAGGGTATTTCTACCTGAGACATGATATATTCACCAAAAATTTTGGGTGTAGAGAGTCAGACTTTTGCATTCTGTACCTCCCCAGCTCCCTTCCACTGGTACCAGCCACCTCTCAAAAACCTTGGGCACTTGCCAAGTGGGGGTGATGCCCCAACATTGCCAGGGCTGGGGGTGGTGTGTCTCAGGTGCTCTGTACAGCTGTCTGTGAGCACAGGCGGTCCTTCTCCAGCAACCTCAAGGAGGATGAGCCGGTCCTCGGTGCTAGGTTTGCATTCTGAGAGCACACTTAAAGGCCCACAGGTGTTCTAGAGCCTTCTCATCCAGCCTGGTCCTTTGCAGGAGGTCAAGTTGGGAATCCACCATCCTGCAGAGGAATGTGCTCTTCCCTGGCCCTCCTGGCTGGTATTACCCAGAGAGACTGGGTGCCAAGTTCTGAGGCCTGGAGGTCATGACTATGTGAGACCTCAGTGGTGGGGCTTTCAAGGGCCAAGTGACTTCCGCAGCTCTGGTCTCAGCCATGATGTCCTCCACAGGTGCCCCACGCCCGGCTGCGATGGCTCAGGCCACATAACGGGGAACTACGCGTCGCACCGGAGGTGAGCCTGCCCCAGATGCCCTGGGCGCCGGGCCAGCAGAGTGGGGGTCTGCTTAGGCTGATGAAGTTCCAGGCCCCAAGTGACACATTCGTGCCACTGCACCCCAGCCTGTTTCTTCCCTCGAGTCTGAATTGTCGATATTCTGGCCAGAGCTGGGGGCCGCTTCCTGGACTTGGCCTTGCTGCCCACAGAGCCTGAGGGCTGGAGGGAGGTAGGTGGGTTAAGTTGCTGTCCTTAAAACACTGTGGCATTTTTTCCTCTTGTAAAACCAGCTTGTCAGGCTGCCCTCGTGCCAAGAAAAGCGGAGCCAAGGCCACACCTGCAAAGGACGACAAGGAAGACCCCGAGCTGATGAAGTAAGTGGGGGCTCCTGCTGGCCGCCTGGCTGCTGTGCAGACTTGGGGTTTCCCTGTATTTTTTAATTTTACAAGCTCCTTTTAGACTCTATTTGCTTTGATACAGCTGTGACAATGCCCATTTTTACAGACGTGCTCAGGCCATGCATAGGGACACCCTTGCAGGTGGGAGCCATGTGCGTTATGTGGAGGACACCTGCATGCATGGGCTCCTGTCTGGACTTCTCAGGTCTGTGGTGTTTGACAGGCCGAGAGAGGCAGAGTGCCCGGCCGCCTGTGCACCCAGGGCATCTGGGCCTGGGCCTCAGGGTGTGGGCCACCCCCGGCATTCACAGGCACTGCAGCCTGCATGGCCTCTGGTCTGGTGGGAGGGGTCAGTGTTGGAGTCAAGGAGGAGAGGGTGGTTAGGAAGACAGGGAGCCTTTGAATTGTGTGTATCTATGTGTCCCCATGCCTCTGCAGGGAGCTGATGTGCAGTGAGGGGCCTGGGAGGGTCACTCTGAACTGGGACTCGCCAGTCCTCTTGGGAGGAGAGAGACACCCTGGGCCTTAAGTGAACAGTGTCCCTGACCTCTCTCTACTGACCTTCTCCCTGGGGATTGCTGCCCTGTCATGAACCCTGACCTGGACTCATCTGGTGGGGCTGGTATCACGGCAAACTTTTCCTTCCAGAAGGGACCCTGCCCCTCAAGCTCCCCACTTGCAGGTGCCACAGGTGCAAGCAGGGTGACCCACCACCCAATTTGCCCAGGACTTTCAGAGCTGACATCGGGTAGAGCAGGCAGTGGGTCCCGCTGGGGCAAGGCAAGGACTGGAGAAGAATGATTCTGGCTGCCTGGTGGCCCAGGTACTGGAGTAGTTTGGCTGGGCAGGTCCACGGGAAGCAGGTCTGCCATGACAGCTGGCACTCACCTCTGCAGAGGGAGGGGCTCGACCTGGTCCGATTTGTGCTGGCTTCTCCAGGGAGATCAGCCCAGCTGTGGCCCAAACATCTGCTGGCCACAGAGAACGGGCCAAATTGACCAGTGTTATGCCCTTCAAGGAGGACGGTCCCACCAGCTGTTTGCTGTAATAAGGCAGTGACTTGTTTATTTAATTTATACAGTAAAACTGTAATGAATACTAAATCAAAAATGCAAAATACTGGTTGTTGGTATTGTGAATGCTGCCTACCAAATGAGAGGGTGGATAAAGAATATTTTTTTCTTCCAAGAATCTAGGAATTTGCCTGTGATCATATAAACGCATTGCTGTTATGGATTTAGCAGGGATCCTGCTGGTGTGATAAGTGAATTGTGCTGCATTTGCAAACGATTAAAATCAAGATCAGCATTTTTCACATTAACTGGGAAAAATAGTTTTCCTCTTCCTGATGTGCTGTCAACTTTGCTTTTAAAAAGAACTCAAGAATTTGCAGCCAAGTGGAGAATGTGACTTCTAGAAATAGTTCAGCATTTATAGGATTGATGAAGTTTCTAATGGCTCCATGGCAAGGGGAAGAGGCCACCCATGTAGCGCCTCTGTTTTATAGGACCTCCTCCCTAGCCATAAACTTTACCCATATTTATAATTGATGAGCGTCTTTACACAAGTGCAGACGGCAGCAGAAACTTTAATCAGTGCTCCAGTTCCCACTACTTGCAGTGAGTGGCTGGCAGGCACTGGCTGTGATGTGTAAGGGCTGGTGGAGGCAGGATCCCTTTTATGATATCTTGTGTCTGCAGCTTTTGAGATTAAGTCAGGTCAGTGCTTTGTGGTAAATCCCTTTGGCCACAAGTAGATAACTGACCATGAAAGTCTATGGAGGTTCCAATGTGGAGGTTGGGAGCTGCATGTCCATCACCGTGGAGAGACCACACTGTCCCCGGCTGTGCTGGCACTTGACCAAAGAGCTGTGCCTCTGACCAGGGGTCCCCTGGGTGTGCTACACGACTTAACGAGAGGTCATCTGACACTGAAGATTTGGACCCAGGGTGTGGAGTGAGAGACCAGCAGTGTTACTGCAGCACGTCATGAATACTCTTTCTGGGGGCGCCTGCAGCCCCTCCTGAGGTGAAGGCTAGGGTTCTGCAAAGACAGTGGGAAAGCAGAGCCTAGGTTCATCTGTGTGGTGACTTGAAGAGGCTCCTCTCACTTTTTGATCCTGTGACATCAGCTTCACAGGCACCTCAGAGGGGCCCAGCCCAGAAGTCCTCTGGAACCCCACAGTTGGGATGTGTCCAAGTGTGGGGGGTGGACGTAGACTGGAACCTCCCCAAGCCCCCTGCAGGGGTCCCTGGTAGTGACTCTGTTCTGGACTGAGGCTACGGTGGCCTTGGACCGGCTCAGTGGACAGCCCTCATGTCTGGGCCCACTTGGCTGGGCTAGATAGGAAAGAAGAGCCAAGAGGGGGGACAGATGAGGATGGTCCCAGCCGAGGAGGCCACTTCTGAGACTGAAAGGTTGCTGCTGCGAGCCGTGAATGACGCCGGGATTCGTGGCTTCCGGAGGAGAGGAATTCGATCGGCGGCCAGAGACGAGGCTTGATCACTTGGAGTTTTTGTGTAGCAAAGTTTTATTAAAGTATAAAATGGATAGAGAAAGTGGCTGACACAGACATCAAAGGGAACAGAAAGAGTGCCCCCTTGCTAGTTTTTAGCAAGGTGTTTTATACCTTTTGGCAAGCTGCTAATCAGATAAAAGAAATGCCTCAAGATTGAGAGTTGCACCAGGCCCCTCTCCCACAACGTGCATTTTGAGATAGAATGGCACAAGGGGAGTCATCCCTGGCCATAGAACAATTGACATGAATCTTGAAGAAAGACAGAATTTCATTAACACAGCTTAAAACATATCCATAAGAAAAACACATTGGTTAGCTCAAGGTTTGAGATAAAGTTCAGTTCAGGTGGAACCAGGTGTTGCCGTGACAACACAGGATTAGAAGAGAAAAAAAAACCATCTGCCACTTGAAGTTTATTTCCTCCTGCTGCTTGGGGACCTCTAGCCTTCCTACCCAGGCTGTTAACCCTCTCAAGATGAGGGCAGGGTGTGGGGGCCGCCAGGCAGCACACCACCCCCAGCCTTGCCATCTCTGGGGGCTTCCTTCCTCTGTCTTGTCTGTATCCCAGGGACCTCTCTGTGAACTGGGTCCTCTGTGCCTTTTGGGTCTGCGGCTGTAGAAAGCGTTGACAAATGGCTAGTGCTCAGAGCAAGCTCCCAGCAAGTGGTCTCTGGGGTGATACAGAAGTGGTGCTGGCAGCAAGGTCCAGGTGTGGACCAGGAGGCCACCAAGAGTCTTCTCCAGGCCCCTGGGGTCCCTGCTGCTGAGGGACAGGGAGAGAAGGTGGCTGCTGACCCCCAAGCCACACAGGGGGTGTAGGGGACCCCAGCACATCTCAGGGTGTGGCTTGGCGGGCTCTCTGGGCTCCTCCTCCAGCTCCAGCACCCAGTGTTCACCTCTGACCTCTCTGCGCCCAGGTGCCCAGTTCCAGGCTGTGTGGGGCTTGGTCACATCAGTGGCAAATATGCCTCTCACAGAAGCGCGTCCGGCTGCCCGCTGGCAGCTCGGAGGCAGAAGGAGGGTTCCCTCAATGGCTCGTCTTTTTCCTGGAAGTCCCTGAAGAATGAGGGGCCCGCCTGCCCCACCCCGGGCTGCGACGGCTCCGGTCACGCCAATGGGAGCTTCCTCACCCACCGCAGGTGATTGTCCCCACCCCCACCCTTCTGTCACCCAGGAGAGACCCCAGCTGTGGGACTGTGGCAAGGCTCCCAGGGATTGTGCCAGACCAGGGTGCAGGTGAGAACAGTAGTTTCTTGAGGAAAAAGACCCAAATTGATAGCCACCTGAGGGAAGCCATGGAAACCTGCTGGGACCACGTGATGGCCTGTGTGATGTGTCACCCAGGTGTCTACTGTCCTAAGACCCCTTTATACATCCCATGGAGTCCCTCTGGCAAGAGAGAGCAGAGCCCTCCTGTGTCTGGAACACACTTTCTTAAAGCAGGCTGAGGCTTTTCCTGAAAAGCATTGTCACAGCTCACGCCCTGTCCCTTCTACTGGGGTTTCTTCTCTAAACTTGGGGCCCAGGTCCTTCCTTGCTCTACAAGGGACCCCTCCATGCCTGGGCAGTGGGCTCGAGCAGCACTGGCCAGCTCCGACCTGCCCTGATGCTGCCCCTGGTGCTGAGGGTCTTGCCCCAGCAACCCTCTTCCTCCTCTCTGTGCTGGGAAGCCACACTAGTCACTGCTTGGTCCTGTCAGAAACCTTTTTCCTATGTTATTTTTTTGTCCTCCTCTCTCCACCTTTAAGATTAATTAGCTCATTCATTCCACAAGCCATTGCTGAAAGCACATCAGATACCAGTCTCTGGAGAACAAGATGACAACCAGCCCTCCTGGAGCTGAGTGGTCAGGGCAGGTGCAGAGACAGACTGCAAACCAACAAATATGTTATTAGTTTGGCAAAGGACACCGTGGGGAAGATAGAGCAGGCAGGGGTGAGGAGGTCTTTTCTGAGAGGTGGTGCTTTTCCCGAGCCTCTGGGGACAAACCTTCAGGGCAGGGGCCTGAGCTGGGAATGGCCTGCGCTGTTGGAGGAGTGAGGAAGCCAGGAGCCTGGAGCCAGGACTAGGACACCAGGGATGAGTGACAACGCTCCAGAAAGGATAGTCCTCCAACAGCCCAGCTCTCACTGGGACTTGTGACCTTAGACTGGCCTGTGAGGCATGACCTTGAATTGGTCTTCATGCATGACCTTTGCTTCCAGCTTGTCTGGCTGTCCCAGAGCGACCTTTGCAGGAAAGAAGGGAAAGCTCTCAGGGGATGAGGTTCTTGGCACGAAATTCAAGACGAGTGATGGTGAGGCTGCCCCCTGCACTCCCTGCATGTGGTCTTGGGACCTGAGTGGGCGGGTGGTTTAGGCAAGAGATGGGTCAGGAGGCAAAGCCCCTCCTGGAGTGAGTTGTGGTGGAGACAGAGCTCTTGAGCTGAGCTGCCAGGGCCCCTCACCTTGGCTCAGAACCTCTGCCTGCCCTGTGCCCAGCGTGGCCATCATAGCTCTAGCCTGGGGCTTGGTGAGCCCTACTGGCAGCACCAGAAGCCATGTGCTTGGGGAGTATGGACCTGTGTTCTCAGGATTCATGAGAGGGAAGCAGAGGAAACCAGAACCATCTGGAAAAGCTTCCATTTTTATCTTAGCAGTTAACACTTGCCCAGGAGGTATCTGTTTTCCCACCAAGACCAGGGCCTGGAGGCACACAGCTGACACGCAGCCACTTTCCCAGTCTGAGATGTGGGCCACGAGCCACTGGGGCTTCTACTCTGAAAGGGCTCCCCAGGCCTATCTAGAAAGCAGGCCTTGACTGACCCCCTCCCCACCTTGTGAGAGCCACAACTGAGCTTTCTCTCTGGGGTAGTGCTGGACAACGATGAGGAGATCAAGCAGCTGAACCAGGAGATTCGAGACCTGAACGAGTCCAACTCTGAGATGGAGGCCGCCATGCTGCAGCTGCAGTCCCAGGTGGGTGGAGCCGCCCCGCCTTGCCCCCACCTGCCCTCAAACCCAGGATGTCCTTCCCATCCTCCCTCTTCTTTTCTGGGTTGGGGGGCGCCCAGCCCCTCATCAAGGTTCTGCTCAGCATGTGCTCCGCCCATCAGGAGCCCTGAGGTGCTGGTAGCCACCATCCTGTTGGTTAGTAGGAGCAGAACCGCATCGTGGGTCATCAGAACCTGACTGGAGCTGGGTTCCAGCCCAGCACAGCCATACACCAGCTCAGTGACTTGGTGGACCTCTCATTCCGAGTGTGCCTTGACGTCCTCCCAGGCAGATGAGGATAATATGAGAATCTGCCCGATTCGGTTGTCAAGAGACAAATGCATTTCTATAAGGAAAGCAATTTGCACAGGATCTGACCCAGAAGAACTGCTGTGCTGAGGGACAGGGTTACAGATCACCTTGCATCTGTGTCCTATCCTTGAGTTTCCCAAAATGAACACTCAAAAAACAACAAAGCAAAACAAAAACAAACCACCAAACCAAAAAACAGTGAAATTCTTATTTTGAAAAGAAGAACATGCCCTTCCTTGACTGCTGAGTGGGGGCTGGAGCAGAGATAAGGGCACAGAGGAATAGCTGTGCACGGCCATGTCGCACGGCCATGTCCCCAAGGACAAGGAGGTGACCTGGCCCTATGGGGTTGAAGGGTGGAGGGGACCGGGGAAGTGTGAGATTCTGGAGTCCATGTGTCTTCTGTGGCCCCTCCTTTCTCTGGCAGACGGGCTTTTATGCTGACCTCCTCTTACCCAGAAGCCGGTGTAAAAATAGCACCAGCTGATGAGGATCAGCAGGGATTTCTGTCCTGCCGCGCAGCGTCTCCCCAGTTCAGAGGCAGTGGAAGTGGAGAGGGGGTACAGGGGCTGTCTCTGGGCACTGAGACACCCTTCTGGGTGCCGTTTTCCTTCTCGAAGTCCAAGCCATCTCCCAGTGTCAGCACCCTTGGAAAGCACCTCTGGTTTCTCTTTATTGGCCAGCACCCACTTACTTATAGAGAGATTATTCACTAGTGTCCTTTTGGAAGGACTCAGAGTCCCCTTTCCCCTCCAGGGAGTTTTGCGTTGTGTGCCCTGCCGGAGAGCTCAGGCAGGGAAAGCAGGCTCAGGACCTCTGCTCAAACCTTCTAAACCCAAAGGCTCGTCACTGGGTAAGGAGGACATGATGCTCCTCCCCAGCCCCTCCTAAAAGGGCTTAGCGATGGCCTGAGGTGCCATCCACACTGATGAGCTTGCCTCTGCCCAGAGTGAGGCTGGGGGCTGCCCTCCCAAGCATGTCTGCTCCAGGCCAGGCCCCAGGGTGGCCTTCTTGCCCACCTTGCCCACGGGGCTCTGACACTCTGGGACTCATGTGGTGCCTGCAGCACCCAGAGCAGGTGAGACTGCCCATGGCCGTCAGCCTGGTGGACTTGTCCTCTGTCCTCTGCTGTTCCATGTGGAAGCCTTGGAGCCCCGGGAGAACTTTCAGACTCCCTCCTGGTGCCCTGTTGTGTCCAGAGAAGACATGTTTGTGCTGGAAACCCCAGGATGGTCTTTGGTGTGCTGGTGCACTCAGCCGAGAATGGCAGTGGTCTGCTCTGCTGCCTTCATAGTTTTGATGAGGCACCTGGTTGGTCTTTCTGGTGGGAGATGTTCCACAATGTGGGAACAGTGTTTCCACCACAGAGGAAGAGCAGAAAGCCAGTGGTGGGCTGGGATGTGAGCCCAGTGCCTCCTTCTGTGCTCCTCTCCACCCCACAGGACAGCTGGGCTCAGAAACCCATGGCCCCCCAGCCCCTAGCTCAGTCACTGTGTCCCCCACCCTCCACCCAGGGACCAGGGCACTGCCAACCCTCACTGTGGCAGGGCTCCTGCCTCTTTGCCCTCTCCCGGAGGGACGTGAGACGGCCCAGTGGGCATGCCTGGCCTGCTCCCAGGAGGACACTCCAGGCGGCAGCTCCCGTCTCTGTCTGGCAGATCTCGTCCATGGAGAAAAGCCTGAAGAATATCGAGGAGGAGAACAAGCTCATCGAGGAGCAGAACGAAGCCCTGTTTCTGGAGCTGTCGGGCCTGAGCCAGGCCCTCATCCAAAGTCTTGCCAACATCCGCCTTCCGCACATGGTAAGCAGTTAGCAGCCCTGGGCCTCCCTAGCTGAGCTGGCACCTGTGTCCTGGGGCTTCGGGGAGGGCAGGCACCCCTCTGCCTCTGGGAGGGCCCCACCCTGGGCAGATTGCTGCCCACGGCAGCTGTCACGTCCTGGGCAGCCTGTGCCATGGTGGTCTCAGCCCAAGTGCTGCCTGTGGTGGGTCTGTGCGCTCATCCCTGGTGGCGTGGGCTTCCTGGGTCTGAGGCTTCCCCATCCACTCCCATTGCTTCTGGAAACCCTGGGGCCCCTGCATGGATGGGCCTCGCTAAACCAGTTGTGTTCTCCAGGAGCCGATATGTGAGCAGAATTTTGACGCCTATGTCAGCACCCTCACCGACATGTACTCCAACCAGGAGTGCTACCAGAACCCCGAGAACAAGGACCTCCTCGAGAGCATCAAGCAGGCCGTGAGGGGCATCCAGGTCTAGGCCTCCTTGTGTGAGGAGCCACCATGCTGACTCGGGGCGCCCAGGGCACCCCGACTCGCCTCTGTCTTTTACCTCCCTAGCCCTGCCCTCCCAGTGGAGATTCCCACTCACAGTGACTTCTCATTGGCAGCCCAGGGTGGCCTCGGCAAGGGGGTGGGAGTGTTTAGCCAGAGGAGTGCCTGGAAATCCTCGTCTCCCTCGATGTGACGCACGCGCCAGGCCAGAGGCCTTGACCTCTCAATGTGAGTGCGGGGCGTGAAGTATTACAAAGTGATTTATTTTTGCTTCTGAAAGCTCGAAGTCTCCAATGGAAACTCACGGACAAGGTTCTCAGGGAAGTTTTGGAGCTGCAACCACAGTATTCCTTTGTCTGTCAAGGCCGAGAGGGCAGCCTGGCCGGGCGGGTGGTGCGTGTGACGAGTCAGCCTGGAGTGGCCAGTGTGCCCACGCGGTGAGGCCGCTGTGACAAGTGTGTTTCCTGTTGTCCTTTAATTCACTTTTATGTTAAGCGTGGAAGAGAGCAGCGTTCCAGAGGGTAGGTTAGGAACAGGCCTGGAGGAAGCTGGCCCAGGACCCCCTGAAGACAGCGCTGGCTCCACAGGGAAGCACCTCTGGTGGAGCCTGCAGACCCTGCGCTCAGGGTCAGGCTCCCTCAAGGCTGCAGCCTTTAGACCCAGGTCGGGGTCAAGGTCAGGGCCTCTGGCTGTCTGTGTGCCCACCTGGCTTGTGACCCACCACTGCCCATCACCGGGTCATGGCTGAGCTTTACCGAGGTGGGGGAAGTGACAGCAAGGTCAGGGGATAAATTCCTGACTGGAGACCACCAAGGTATCACTTCTTTTTAGATCCATTCGAGATTCAAAAGAAGATAAATTTTGATTTAATGTGTTAAAAACACAATGTTCCTAACATGTAAATAGAGTCCAAGCCAACTGTGACTGCGATTCCAAGTTAGTATTTAAAAGTAGAGAAATTGCACTTCCTGGAAGAAATGAGAAAGTAGTTAGTTTAATTATTCTGTAAATTATTTAATTTTGTCAAAATGTAAGTATTTATATTCACAACCTCTTATGTTAATGTTGGCTATTTATTTAACATTTTTATTTATTAATTTTATACTATTTTACCTAGACCCCACACCAGGACATATGAGAGGAAAGTAAATGAAATCAAAGCAAACTTAACTATTTGACTATGAGAAGGGCCACAAAAAATCTTGCTGTAACTTCTAGTTATGATTTTAATGCAACTGAGTTATTTTTTATATATTTTGTTATTTATTCTTTTTAATAATGGAGTTTTTAAAAAGTATTTTGTAACTGAGGAATTTTGATAATTTGGGGATGTTTCCCCTTTGGTCCAATGGAAAGAAAGACTTTTTGGTTCTCTTCATCCCTTTGGCTCCTTTTGTTTCAGGCACGGACGACAGCAAATGGCATTCTGTGTTTATTGTTTATTTAAGTGTAGTGCAGCTGTGTGCTCTGGCGTGTCTCTTGTGTTGCGTCTGTGTGCCGGTTCTTGATGGCTGAGTCCTATCGCTGTGAGGGGCGCTGGCTGCAGGCCGCCCTGAGCAGCTCCCGCTCTAGGCTCCTGTCCTCTGACAGCTCTGATACTGTGATCCTCCTTCCTCAGGAAACGCTGACCCCACAGCACAGCACTTCTCAGTGTGTTTGCAGGGTGATTTCCTAATAAAAGTCCACTCTGACTGTGAGTGGGAGCCGTGTCTGTGGTGGGGACGCCGAATCGGTCCCGGGAGCTCTGGGGGTCACCTTCCTGGAGCGAGGGCGGTGGGCGGGTCCTCCGTGTGAACACGTGGGAGCCACGTTTCCTTTGCGGAACCGCCCTCCCCGGAGGGCTGAGTCACGGACCGCGCATGTGTGAATCGGGGGTTTCTCTTAGGGTCAGAAGAAGTCTTCCTGCTGGCGTTGTTGGCCTGGGGGGTGTGAAATGAGGGCTGCCCCGGGCCACCTCTCCTGGCTTCAGGAGGAAGCCCTGTGCAGGCGAGAGTTTGGACTTTCCGGAGGGAGGTAGAGTTGAGAGGAGGGGAGAGAAAAGTGGGAGGGGGAGGCAAGCCAGCTCTCTGGTAGCCTTTTCAGAGCTCCTGCATTCAGCCATCTGTGAAGGTGGCTATGATGGCAGTGGCTCCTCACTGCTTTACACTTTTGTGTCAGGTGTGGCTCTCCCAGGTGAGACTCAGGTTTGGGGCTTCTAGTCAACATGCACCCTGAACTGTCAACATGCTTTGACCTCCCTGGGCATCTAGCTCTTGAGGGCAACCTGGAGCTCCCCAACTGACCTGTGAATAAAGGGAGACTTTTAGGAATTCCGGGCCTTACTTTCAAGCCCTGTCCAAGTTGGACGGTTGAGGGTCTGGAGGGCTCCAGCTGCTGGCGGTGGGGACCATGGAGGGGTTGTGTGAAACCTGTGCAGTCTTGAGGAGGGGCTCCTGGAGGGCAAAGAGGATTGGCGGTCCAGGTCGTACCCATCCATGTCAGCACCCATCCATGGGTGCTGGGGTGACAGCATTCTGGGGCCGTGAAAGTTGGCTGCCTGATGGCAGGTGATGAGCAGAGGCCAGGACTGTGGAGGAATGGGCGGATGGCCACGTCCATCCTGCAAGGCCATCCTGCATCGTCCTGCTCCCACCCTCTCCCAGGGCTCTGCCTGCTCCCTGCCAAGTGTTTAGCGGGCTGCTTAGCCTCCTATCTGAAATGTTGCACTTCAGGGGACCCATCTCCCTGCCCCCAACCCCGCACCAGTTTAGCCAGAACCTCTCCCCAGCGCCATGGGGTGTGGCCTCAGCACGTACTTCCAAGGCCTCCAGCAACCTGAGAAGCACCGATGCCTGTGGAGGCGACAGTGTGCAGGTGCACGTGTGCTTGCCATGCTGGTCCCCAGCTGGCTTCATCGCGGGGTGCTCTGCCAGTGGGCTCTGCGAAGCCTGATTGGTCTGAAGACCCAGGAAGACAGCATGACTGGGAACAGGGCCCCGGAGGTCAGCCTCCAGAGCAGGTGAGTGTGCATATGTAGGGGGATCAAGGGGCTGTGGGGGGTGGAGACAGGGCTAGAGCGGGACTCCCTCCACTAGCCACATCTCAGTAAAGACTTCTGTGCGTAGTTGGGGACAGGTGGGCCACGGTGAGAGGGCAGCCAGGAAGAGATCAGTTCCAAACCAGGCCTGGACTGGCTCTGGGCCTGGGCTCCAGCCAGGATGGACTCAGTTTTGCCCTTCAGGGCTGCTCTGGCCCACGGCTGGCTGGGTGCACCAAGGGTGTGCCCCTGGAACATGGGTGGCACCCCCTGCTGTGGGATCCCGGAAGACCTCTCAGAGAAGCTGTGTGTGGGATGTGGCTGGTGGTTCGGAGGAAGGGCTTGCTGGAGAGGGAACACTGAGCATCTTGAGCATGGATGTTGGTGCATAGGACCCTGATATTGAAGAACTATGGCACAGAGGAGGCTGCTTGATCCTGTAAGACCTGTAGGTTTTCCCAACTCTGTTTCGGTTGCCAGAGTTCTGGGATGTACTAGGGAGCCTGGTCTCGGTGTTCTGGGTCCTCAGTATCTTTCCTTTGGAAGCTCTTGGCTTCCATTCACCATGATGTCCTGGTCTTCTGAGGGTTTGTCCACTGTGGGGTCAGCAGGCTGAGCTTGAATGGGGCTCTGCCTTCACCCACTGGTGTCTGTGCCTGATGCTGTGGGCAGAGGGACCACAGTAGCCCCCCTGGCTTCAAGAAGATGCAGCATCACCATGATGCTAGAAGGTTGTTTAATTCTGCAGTCTGATGATGACATTAGCTATTTGCCCCCCAAAAGCTGCTTCCACCTCTTGCTTGGAGGGTCTACCTCCAGGTTGGGGGAGGGTCTTGGTGTCATTGGCATATGCTCAGGACTTATTTTTGGTATAGGGACCTCATCCATAGCCAGGCCTCCTCTCCCAGCCTGCAGCCCCTTCTTTTACACTTTCCAGAGAGTATAACTCAAGATTTTATCTGGAGGGAGGGGAGCATTCCCCAGTGCCAGTCATCTATGTTACAGGCCCTCTCTTCCTTCTCCAGCATCACCTGAATCTGCCAGTTCCTGGCTTCCTGAGGAGTGGATGGCCTTGGTCCTGAACTTCCCACACTCTGGCTATAATTCAGCCTTTGGGTCTAGAAGTCATTCGCTACACATTTGTGTGTTTTGGCTTCTAAATCACATTGTTGGCTCCTCTTCCATCTTCCCATTCCTGCCAGTTTATACCTTAAAAGCTGTCATTTTAGCCAGGTCTTGAGAGGATGCCAAGGTAGATAAGTGAGTCTACCTGCCCTCTTTACTTGGACCCACCGGTGGAGAACACCTGGCTGTGTGTGGAGGCTGCCTGATTGCAGGAGAGACTTTCTCCCCTTCACCACTGTGCTGCTAAGGCTTGTGGCTCTGTAAAGGCTGTTACAGCTGTGGGTGTGGAGGGTTCCTAACATGGGGCAATATAGGTCCAAACTTGCCATACAGATCAGCCAGTGTTATAGACGCTTCCTTTCTCTTTGTTCCTCCTCCGAAATGGTAGATGGCTTCTCTGAGAGAACTCCAGTCCCCACGTCAGCCAAGTGCCTGTCAGGTTAAACCACACAGGGGGCCAGGTGACTCATGACTGTAGGCATCCTACCAGTGCTGGCAGCTGGCCCTTGGGAGAGGCCCTATGGTCTCCTCTGTCCCCCAACCCTCTGCCCCCACTAGCCTCTCCCCTTTCCCTATCCCCTCATGTCAAGGGTGTGTAGGCCGCTGAAGTCTGGCCTTCCCCCTCCTGATACGTTTTATGGCTCCCCATCCCTCGGTCTCTGGGCCCTCCTTCCACCTGTCCCCTTGCACCCTGAAGAGGTGGCCCTGGGTCACCCCCTGGCCTCTGCCCTCTCTTTCTCACCCTCCCTACAGCAGTGTGCCATGTGCAGAGAATGCCTGTGCTGTTCCCCGAGCCTGCCTTTCCCAGCCTAGCGCTTTCTGGGTCTCCACTTGAATGTCCCACC